GAGAGCTGCAAGCAGAGGAAGAAGCAGGCTCCCTGCCGAGCAAGGAGCCCCATGCTGGACTTGATCCCAGGCCCTTGGGATCATGACCTGAGCCGAAGGCAGATGCTTAACTGACTGAGCCACCCAGGCGCCCCTGCATGTGTCTGGACTTAATGACTCAATTCTAACAAATAAAGTAGAAATAATGGTGTGTGACTTTAGAAACTAGGTCATAAAAAGGCACTGCAGCTTCCGTCTTGGTTGCTGTCTTTCTTGGATCACTTGCTCTGGAGGAAGCCAGCTGCCAGATCATGAGCAGCCCTCAGGAGAGACCCAGATGGCAAGGAACTGAGGCCTCCTACCAGTAGCCACTGAGTGAAGTTCAGTGATCCTCCACTCTCAGTCAAGCCTTCCATTGACGGCGGCCTAGCCAGTATCTTGATTGCAGCCTCTAAGATATATGAACCATCCAGTTAAGCCACTTGTACATTCGTGATCCACAGAAAAAAAGATAATAAAAACTCATTGTTTTAAGCTACTATACTTTGGGATAATGCATTATTTAGCAGTAGATAACTAATAGACTGAGAACTGTGATTCCCAAGGATTTGGAGAGACATTATTTTTTTCCCAATGTCCATATCTTGTACAGAAATGGTATTGAATTTTCTTAGTTTTTAAAAAAGCTAAACTTGCTTAAGGTTTAGAAAACTATGAAATATTGTTTTGTTTGGCTTTTGGAAATGAGCATTTCTCTGAATATGTCAAATTTATAATTAAACTTCTTTACTGTCCTTTCTTTAGCTTCAGAGTTCTAAAGTAATATTAATTTACAATTACTCAGTTATGTAGAGAAATTGAAGAAAGCTGACCATTGAATGTTATAGATTTTGTTTCATCTTTGGTATAGGAATTTTATTTTTGTAGATATTGACAGGTAGATATTGCGCCCATTCTAAGTAAACATGAAAAAAACCTTAAGTTTTGGATGGTGAAAAAGAGCTCTGGTTATTAGAGTAAAGGAGCTCATATCAGTACATTTAAAAATAAACATAAACAGAACATATCCAAACGAGATTGCAGATTCCCTATTAGCTGCCACCTACCCAAGATACTGTCATCCAGCAGAAATCACATAATAGTCAGATCATAAAATCAAAACCCATTTGTACCACTGCTGCCATCTGTGTGGAAACTATTGTCCATGTGTCCAATTAAAGTCAGAACCAGAAAGAGGCTTTACCAAGAATCAGATTCACTGTGCAAGAGCCATATTCCTCAATCAGTTATATGAGGAAAGGTTAACTGAGGACTCAAGGGCCCAAGTCTCAGAAAAGGTACGCTTTCAGGCCATGTGTTTGATTCTCATTTGGGATCCAGAAAGGCAGCATATTAGTGAAATTTCCAGAAATAAACATCAAACAAGGAGTCAGAAATATTTAGTTTGTGATTTTGCGATGCGATTTGTGTTCTTACATGTAAGAGAGTCAGCTAATTGGCTAAATATTTTTCTTTTTTTTTTTTTAAGATTTTATTTATTTTTTTGACAGAGACACAGCGAGAGAGGGAACACAAGCAGGGGGAGTGGGAGAGGGAGAGAGAGAAGCAGGCTTCCCGCTGAGTAAGAAGCCTGATGCGGGGCTCGATCCCAGGACACTGGGATCATGACCTGAGTCGAAGGCAGACGCTTAACGACTGAGCCACCCAGGCGCCCCGCTAATTGGCTAAATAAAGGAAAAACCAGAAATAGTCTTGTTTGCATATTTTGTGGGTAAACTGGTTAGCTGACAGCTACAAAAAGTTCAGTTTGGGTATTCTGCCTTTGTGTAGGAAGCCTAAGGATATCAAAGAAATCATTTTAGTTGTTTTAAAAAGATAAATTAGCTGTGTAACATGTGATAACATTTCTAAGGTCTGCCAGTCCCCTCTGTCAGCACTGCTACCTTAAACCAGATATGCACCATTTCCTTCATTCAAATTTCTTCCTTATCATTAAAAAAATTTTTTTGGAAGCACTGAAATGTTCCATAATAGAATGGCATGTCTAGTCAGTGGAATATTATGCAGCCTTTAAAAATGTACAAGGATATGTGCATAACAATGTTCACTACAAGATTATAATAGTGAACAGTTGTGACAAAGAAAATGTCCATCAGTAGGGAACTATGAGTTCAACAATAATGTGAAATACTGGGCAACCATTAGAAAGAATAAGCAGATATGTATGGATTAACATGGAAGGATGTCTACAATATGATGAGCACTTACTGTGTGCCAGAGTATTATGTGATCTATTTTTGTTTCTTTTTTTTTTTTAAAGATTTTATTTATTTATTTGACAGAGAGAGACACAGCGAGAGAGGGAACACAAGCAAGGGGAGTGGGGGAGGGAGAAGCAGGCTTGCTGCGGAGCAGGGAGCCCGATGCGGGGCTCAATCCCAGGACCCTGGGATCATGACCTGAGCCGAAGGCAGACGCTTAACCGGCTGAGCCACCCAGGCGCCCTCTATTTTTGTTTCTTAAGAATAGGTTATTGAGGGGTGCTGGGTGGCTCCCTCGATTAAACCTTGACTCTTGATTTTAGCTCAGGTCATGATCTCAGGGTTGTGAGATCAAGCCCCTTGTCTGACTCCACACTGAACAGGGAGTCTGCTGGAGGTTCTCTCCCTCTTCCTCTGTGCGCCCCCCACCCCATGTACGTGCACTCTCTCTCTAAAATGTATGGATAAATCTTTTTAAAAAATAGCTTTTGGAAGAGACTTGTTAACAGAGTTTATCAACAGAATTCTAATGAAAGAGGTACCAAAGAAAAATTTTATATCTTATTTACTTCTATATTTTTTGCATTTTTTTTACAATAAGCAGTTTACTACTTTTGTAATTGAAGTTTATAACACTTATAAGAGGTTTTAGCAACATGGGAAATACTTTTATGATAATGTTAAGTGCAAAAGTGGGATATAAAACTTCATATCTAGTAACACAACCATGTTTTCTTCAAGTATGTATAAAAAGTGATTTGAAAAACACAAAGATGTTTCAGAAGGAGACTTTAGGTAATCAGAATAAACTTTTTTTTTTTTTTTAAGAGAATGCATGACCAAGTGAGCAAGGGGGGCAGGGGGAGGGGCAGAGGGAGAGAGAGAATCTTAAGCGGCCTCCACAGCCAGCATGGAGCCCAACACAAGGCTCAGTTTCACAACCCTGAGATCATGACCTGAGCCGAAATCATGAGTCGGGCACTTATCCAACAGAGCCACCCCAATGCCCCAAATATTTTCAGATTTTTCTATAGCAAAATTTATTAATCCCTGACTGACTCCTGCATCCTTGGAAATTCCCCACTCACACATATTTTCCATCACTACCTCTGCCCCCCATATTCCTTTAAGCAGAAATCAATGACAGAGTAAATCTAATATAAAATGTATCCCAGGGATGCCTGGGTAGCTCAGTCAGTTAAGTGTCTGACTCTTGATCTCAGCTCATATCTTGATCTCAGAGTCATGAGTTCAGGTCCTCTGTTGGACTCCATGCTGGGCATATGGAGCCCACCTGAAGAAAAAAAAATGTAATCCCTACTGTAGGATTATTTCTAGATTACTCACTATTTTAACTGGGTTAGTATTTTTTCTTTTAATGTTTCTAATCAAAAGTTGACTGTAATTGGTTTCATTTTTATCCCACTTAATATAAACTGTTGTATAATCAGTCATAGAAATTGTAATATTATACTTTTAGAAAGTAAAGTCAGGTATTTTTCATTGGAGGCATTTATTTTTCTTTGGTATTTTCTGGGTTAATTTTTGAAGATGTTAAGTGGTTTTTCACAAAATTTGTTGAGGAATAACAAATTATTTGAGGATTTGGTAGTTCATAGTCTGATCTTGTAATAGTCAAGTAGCTAAGAAGTTTTCAAGTAGACATATTTTTGATTTTATTGTTTTTCATTGTTACTTGATACTTGGCAAAGTTTGCAAAGAAGCATACTGAGAAAGCTTACAATTCACCACATGTCTAGATTTGATTGTGTCTGTAAGCTCCAAATAAATATATAGCCAGTAAGTATAATTTCTGTTCACTCAACTTATTTTTTTTTAAGCTTTTAAGTTTACTTATTTATTTATTTATTTTTAAATAATTTCTGTACCCAACATGGGGCTCGAACTCACAACCCTGAGATCAAGAGTCGCATGCTCTTCTGACTCAGCCAGGCAGGCACCACTGTTCACTCAATTTTTAAATATGCTATGGCCATATTGAATGTGAGGTGATCCAGAACAATTGAGGTCATCATTGGTGAAGAATTCTGAGCACTTGAATCATGCTCTCATTTAGTTCTTTAACTATGATTGTTCTTTAACTTCAGAATTCTATCCTGGCACTTTTGTACCTTAAGGATCAAAAGGGGCATGTGAAAAAAAATTGGATACTATAAAGTACTAGACATTTATAAAGTATCAGGCACTTGGTTTTAACTAAAAAAATCTAAGAAAATCTCCTAAGGAAACTGTGATAGAGGTTACCACGTATACATTTTTATTTGGGCTACAGAATATGGATAGTAAATTTGCCACAGTAAGACTAGTAGAGTGGGGTGCTTACTGGTTCAATGACCTTCAGTTGGCATTTACTATGTAACACTTAAGGATGGCATAGTGTGAGAGTCTACACTGCTGAATCAGAAATGTTCTTTGCTCTATTCAAGTTGTCTTTTAACTCTTTCTGTCATTTACATTCTTTCCTTCCTAGCTGCCAGATGTGTACTTTAGGAAGGTAAGGTACAGAAAAGGTTTGGGGTAAAATAATAAGAAAGAGACAAAAATGTAGCATTTCTATCATGGATTGAAAAATACTGTTAGTGTACCATACGATATGTGGATGTTTATTTGTATCATTGTATATTTGATAAATATAATATTTTTTAATCTGAATTTCATAATTGAGTCTAAATTATCCTGTCATATTTATTACCAAGTAGATGTAACACAAATTTGCTAATTATTATTCTCTTCTTATAGTTTCCAGCGTATGATTTCATCCCATCTCCAAAATTAAAGTCCTCTCAAGGAATGCCAGTAAATGATGATTTATGTTTTAGCAGAAAAAGAGTGTCAAGAAACTTATTTCAGAATAGTCGAGATTATAACCCAGATTCTCTTCCTGTATGTGCTGCTGGTAAGTAAAAGGTGCAGGTAATGGACATGTTGAAACTTAAGTTAAAGGTTTCTCTAAACATAATAATTCCTTTAAGAGCTCAAAGAATTTATAATCTAGTAGACAATTCAGGTTCAATAAATATTTGTTAAAGATGTGATAATAATGGGGCACCTGGGTGGCTTAGTCCGTTGAGAGTCCAACTCTTGATTTCGGCTCAGATCATGATTTCAGGGTCATGAGATCAAGCTCTATGTCCGTCTCTGCACTGGGTGAGGAGCCTGCTTGGGATTCTCTCTCTCCCTCTCCCCCTTGTCCCACACGCTTGTTTGTGCGTGCTCACACTCTCTCTCTCAAAAAAAAAAAGAGATCTAGTAAGAATGGACACTTTGACATAATTGTCTCCTAAGACCTTGGAAGGGTTTCTCAGTGAAACCCTTTAAGTAGTAATGTAAGGCAGTATTTACTTTTTTTTTTTAAAGATTTTATTTATTTATTTGAGAGAGAGAATGAGATAGAGAGAGCATGAGATGGGAGAGGGCCCAAGGGAGAAGCAGACTCCCTGCTGAGCAGGGAGCCCGATGCGGGACTCGATCCTGGGACTCCAGGATCATGACCTGATGAGCCGAAGGCAATCGCTTAACCAACTGAACCACCCAGGCGCCCAAGGCAGTATTTGCTTAGTCGACAATCCATATTTATTTAGTGTCTCCTATGTGTCAGATACTTTACTAGGTACTGGGGATATAGCAGTCAACAAAAGAGGGAAACTTTCTCCCTAATAGATCTTGCATTCTAATTGGAGCAAAGCAGCCATAAATAAATGCAAAGCATAGTAGGTTAGATGGTGATAAATGCTATGGAGAAAAATAAAGCAGAGAAGATGAATATGGAGGAAGGGCTGTTTTAAATAATGTGGTGAAAGAAGGCCACATTCAGAAAGCGAATATTTGAAGCAAACCACACAAATATCAAGAGAGAACAGATAATTATAGGAAGAGGGAATAGTGCAGAGTGCAGGACATGTTTGAGAAAGATCAAAGAGGCTACTTAGTCTGGAATGAAATCGGTAAGGGGAAGAGAAGTAGAAAATGAAATTAAGGAGGTAATAAGCATCCTTATTTATAAGGCCTAATGGACTATTGAATGAACTCTGGCTTTTACTCTGAGTGAGGAACATTTTGAGAAAAGAAGTAACATCAGTTGCCTTGTGTTTTTCAGGCTTGTTTTGGATGTTACATTTAAAATAGACCTAAGGAGGGGCACCTGGGTGTTTCAGTCATCAAGCATCCAACTCTTGATTTTGGCTCAGGTCATGATCTCACCATGGTGAGATCCAGCCCCAAGTCTGGCTCCACACTCAGCAGGGAGTCTGCTTGAGATTCTCTCCCTTTCCCCCTGCCCCTCGCGCTCCCCCCCATCTCTTTCAAACAAATAAATAAATCTTTAAAAAATAAATAAAGTAGACTTAAGGAGGGCAAGGGTGAAAACAGGGTAGAGTTGATGGAGGTTTAACCAGGGTAGCAGTGAATGTAGTGGAAGTGATTAGATACTGACCATATGTTAAAGTTAGAGTTGATATGATTTGCTGGTGGATTGGGTGTGGAATGTGAGAGAGAGAGAAGTGAAGAATGCTCTAAGGTTTTTTGGCCAGAGCAACTGGTAAGATGTTTAAGTAAATGTTACAGAAAGTAAATATGGTAGTTTAGAGGACATGGTCATTGTCATGGGCCATATCAGTTAGAAAAGACACTAAAGAGGAGATAATAATTATACTGCATTTTCTGGGGATGTATATGATACAAGCAGTTAGAGGAGAGTTATGAGGAGAGCAAAGGTTTACATTAGGAGTTGGCTTGAGATATTCTAGGAGCTGTGTGAAGACAAGATTCATTTTAAATGGTCAAGAATAAATTTGGATATGGGGAACGCTTGTGTGCTAGGCTCAAAAATTTGAACTCATGCTCGTAAGCTATGGGGAACTAATGGAGATTGTTTTCATTAAGTAAAAAAGAAGCTAGGGTGATAAGGTTGTTTACAACTCAAATAGAAAGGAATAATCAGGAAAATATGACAACTGGATATAGAAGATGAAGAAAGGGAATAGCGGAAGATTTCAAGATTAGCACACAGGTAATTACAAAAAGGGTAATATGTTGACAAAACAAAGCCAGTTGGGAAGGAAAAATGGTTTATAAGGTAACGATTGACTTTGTTAAAATTTATTTAATATCCAAATGATATCAGTTATTGAAATGTGTTGGCTATGAGTTCAGGCACAAAATTTAGAGAACTTTGTTACCATAGGAGAATTTATAGATCTTTATGCAGTAAAATTCCATAATATTTTCATACAAAAATGACTGTTACAAAGATTGTATAATGTTTAATAGAGAAAAAAAAATGCAAGAATATAACCAGTTATGCTCATACCATTAGTTTGGATTTTTATAAGGCTCATGCTTTCTGTACTGGAGAGCTCTTACCTAGCTGTACAGATTTAAAATAACTGGAAAGTAAGACATCATATAACCTGATGCTAGATTGGATGATATGAATTATAAGTACTGTAGGGATTTAAAAAAGGAAAAGGTGATAGGTTTTGAAGTGGTTTGGGAAAACTCCAGGAAAAGTTGAACCTTAAAAAAGCTGGACCTTAAAAAAGGGAGAGGTTTGTGATTGCTTGGCAGTGAAGCAAGAGAGGGACTGTTATAGATAGGGAGAGTATAACCAAAGCATGGAGGTGAAAATTAATTTAGAAGATGTCCAGTACATGAAGGATAAAGGGGCTTAAAATCATAGGGAGAGAATTTTAAAAATCATAAAATTTCAGAACTATAAGGGACCCCCGGTAAGGAATAACCTTAACCAGACAAGGGAAAGGGAAAGAGATCTTGGAAATATGCCCAGATAAACTTAGAAACCATGTGAATGCTGTGTTACATGTTAGGAAAAAAGGAGAAGAGTTCTGCAGTACGGCTTTTTTGTACAGTATGTACTGCAAATACTGGGAAGAAGGAAAACCAGCCCAGGAAACAACAGATCTTGGTGAGGATGAGGAGAAAGGGAAATCCTCTTACATTGTTGGTAGGAATGCAAACTGGTACAGCCACTCTGGAAAACAGTATGGCAATTACTCAAAAAGTTAAAAATTAAAAAAAAATAAATAAATAAAAAGTTAAAAATAGAACTATCCTATGATCCAGTTATTGCACTGGTGTTTACCCAAAGGTACAAAAATACTGATTCAAAGGGACACATGCACCCCGATGTTTATAGCAGCATTATCAACAATTGCCAAATTATGGAAAGAGCCCAAATGTCCATTGACTGATGCATGGATAAAGAAGATGTAATATAGGTGTCTGGAGGGCTCAGGTAATTGAGCATCTGCCTCTGGCTCAGGTCATGATTCCAGGGTCCTGGGATCGAGCACCGAGTTGGGCTCCCTGCTGATCAGGGAGTCTGCTTCTCCCTCTCCCTCTGCCCCTTCCCCCTGCTTGTGCTCTCTCTCAAATAAATGAAATGCTAAAAAAAAAAAAAGATGTGATTTTATTTATACACACACACACACACACATGCACACACACACAGTGAATATTACTCAGCCATAAAAAAGAATGAAATCTTGCCATTTGCAATGACGTGGATGGAGCTAGAGAGTATTATGCTAAGTGAAGTAAGTCAGAGAAAGACAAATACCGTGATTTCACTCGTATGTGGAATTTAAGGTGAACAGGTGAGCATAGGGGGAGAAAAAAGAGAAGCAAACCATAAAACAGACTCTTTTTTTTTTTTTAAAGATTTTATTTATTTATTTGAGACAGAGAGAATGAGAGAGAGAGAGCACATGAGAGGGGGGAGGGTCAGAGGGAGAAGCAGGCTCCCCGCCGAGCAGGGAGCCCGATGCAGGACTCGATCCCGGGACTCCAGGATCATGACCTGAGCCGAAGGCAGTCGCTTAACCAACTGAGCCACTCAGGTGCCCATAAAACAGACTCTTAACTATGGAGAACAAACTGAGGGTTGCTGGAGGGAGGTTGGGGGGGCTGGGTTAAATGGGTGATGGGTATTAAGGAGGGTACTTGTTGGGATGAGCACTGGGTATTGTATGTAAGTGATGAATCACTAAATTCTACTTCTGAAACTAATATTACACTCTATGTTAACTAACTGGAATTTAAATAAAAACTTAGGGGGTGGGGAGAAGGAAAGCCAGGTCTGGAGAAATGTTCCATGGTGAGGGAGCATGTAGAAAGAAACTGTTTTTGTGTATATTTTTCAATATACCTTTGTTTGTACTTTTCCAGTCTCTCTTCTGTTCTTTAACCCCTGATACTACTCAGATATGCCAATAGCAAAAACTGTCCCTTTCTTGCCTGCCTAGTTCACTGTACAGTTACTCTTGTAGTTATTCCTATGCAAATGAAATCAATATTTCTGAAATTAGATATATTCATGGAATAAAGTTAACATTTACTTTTATGTTTTTCTCTTCCTTCTCTCCAAAGGCAGTACTGGGACTCATCAGACAAATGTTTCTGGGAAATGTGGACAACTTGGATTTTCACAGATATGTGGGAAAAGTGGGAGTGTGGATTCTGACTTACAATACCTAGGGACAGCTAACAATCATCAAGATAAAGGTTTAAATTCCAACTTTATTTGGATACAAATGATTTATAAATATGTGGAATTTCCAAATGTAGCTTATATGTTATTTTGTGTAATTTTATTCATTGCAAAAAAAGAAATCAATCTTATATTTTTAATAACATTTTTTTATAACTTACCCTAAAATGTTAGATTTAATAATCTTAATGTAAATATGACTGGTGGAAATTAGAGGGTTTAGAAACTCATGGTGGAGATGAGCATTTTAATACCAAGTAATTAAAAACATTATTCATTAAAAAGTACTATGTTAGCAGAAGACAATTATTTTCCACGGCAGTTTTAACTTTTGTTTTTTCCTTTTTGAGAGAGACTGCCTGTGCAAGTTGTGGAGAGAGGGAGAGGAGGAGATAGAATCTTTTTTTTTTTCAAAAATTTTTTTTCTTAAGATTTTATTTATTTGCGAGAGAGACAATGAGAGACAGAGAACATGAGAGGGAGGAGGGTCAGAGGGAGAAGCAGACTCTCTGCCGAGCAGGGACCCCGATGTGGGACTCGATCCCGGGACTCCAGGATCATGACCTGAGCCGAAGGCAGTCGCTTAACCAACTGAGCCACCCAGGCACCCCGAGGAGATAGAATCTTAAGTAGGCTCCATGCCCAGCGTGGAGCCAACACAGGGCTCAATCTCACGACCCTGAGATCATGACCTGAGCTGAAATCAAGAGTTGGACACTTGGGCGCCTGGGTGGCTCAGTCGTTAAGGGGCTGCCTTCGGCTCGGGTCATGATCCCAGAGTCCTGGGATCGAGTCCCACGTCGGGCTCCCTGCTCAGCAGGAGCCTGCTTCCCCCTCTCCCACTCCCTCTGCTTGTGTTCCTGCTCTCGCTGTCTCTGTCTCTGTCAAATAAATAAAGAAAATCTTTAAAAAAAAAAAAAAAAGAGTTGGACCCTTAACCGACTGAGCCACCTGGTGTCCCAGCAGTTTTAACTTTTAAAGTTGTTTAGAATTTATTAAGTCTCCTGTTAGGAACCATAACTTCCTGACTAGCTATCATTTCAGATATCTTTTATGTCTCTAAGATATAGAACAAAAGGAAGGGCTTGAGGCTGGCTGTCAGTTATATGAATTTTTTATCTGAAGGGGTTTCTTAAATGTATGTATTAATTAATAGCTTTATCGATTATTATTAAGAGGTAAGATCATATGAAATATTTCTAGAGGTGTTTTAATTTTTGTTACATATCCTTTACTAAAGCTTTTTGAATGATAGGGATGTACCTCTGTCTTTTTTTGTCAATGAAAAGTAATGCTCATTTGAAATCAGTAAGGAAGATTTAGTTAATATAGTACTTAAATTTTAGCAACCCTTTCCTCCACACACTACAAAGGGCCATATGACTCAATGAAGTTTTTCTTTATAGTGTTTTCCCAATAAAACAGTTAATCTTTCTTAATGATAGAGATATTTCCTAAATTTTGACTAGATACCCTTGGGACTTGTGAATTGTGGAAGCAGCGAAGATTCTCTCTGTTGCTTAGTCTCTTCCTGTTTAGGATATCCCCAAATGATTACATTACCTTTGATAACTACCTCCACTCTCAGTGTTTAATCAGATCTTCATTGAGGCTTTGGTTTTCTATAACCTCTCAAAATACCTGTAAGAGTAGCTACTAAAGGGATATCAAGTTCTTCCAAAGTCAGCATTTAACTTAATAGTAGGTTGTACATTAAAAAGTCTATTAGGACCACCACCATGTCAACTAATATTCTCGGTGGGATTTCTGAAGACCTGGGTGTAGATGCCAGAAACTATCTAGAAGCTTCCTTCCCAATTTTAAATGTTGCAGTGATCCACACCAAACATTGGAAATGTTGGTTTTGTTTTTTTTTTTTGGCATTCTATTGGTTCTCTTTATGTGCATTAAAAAATTTGATGTTTGAGTTCTTTGTAAGAAATATCCTGAAATCTCTTAATAAAAGGAATATGTAATAACACACTGACATGGAAGCATCAGAATCTATTAATAGAGCATTGCAATTCAAATCAGGAAGTTGAAAGTTTTCATTTACATGTAAATTGGTGACCACTTAAATCTCCTGTAGTCCCCTTTTCCACCCAAATAAGATTTAGGTAGAAGTAAAGGTCCAAACTATGTCATTTATGAATTAAAAATAAGTGATACATAATTACATCTAGTTAAGTCTTCAGAAGAAAGTTTTGTTAGTATACATAAGCTAGGTCTTTTGTTGTTGAAAATCTTCCAAAAAAATATTATAGGAAAATTTAAGGGAACCCTAAATGGTTACAAGTAGATTTTTATATTAGATGAGGAATAAAAAGAAAAGATCAATAAAAAGCAAGAAAAAATAATAAAACACACGATAAATAGAAAGCACAAAATAAGATGGTAGAATAAAACCAAATATATCAGTAGTTACCATAAATATCAGTGGACAGAACTTAGCATTTAAATAACATGGATGATCAGATTTTATTTTATTTATTAAAATTGAAATGCTATTTTTTTCTGATTTATATTTTTTCTACTTTTTTTAAAGTTTTTAGTTAAATTCCAGTTAGTTAACATACAGTGTAATATTAAGTGCAGGTGTACAATATAGTGATTCAGCACTTCCATACATCACCCAGTGCTCATCACAAGTGTACTTCTTAATCTCCATCACCTGTTTAATCCATCCCCCCCACCTGCCTCCCTTCTGTTTCTTGGTTTCCCTCTCTCTTTTTTTTCCCCCTTTGCTCATTTGTTTTGTTTCTTAAATTCCACATATGAGTGAAATCATATGGTATTTGTGTTTCTCTGATTGACTTATTTCGCTTAGCATAATATTTTCTAGCTCCATCCATGTCATTGCAAATGGCAAGATTTCAGTCTTTTTATGGTTAAGTAATATTCCATTGTGTGTGTGTGTGTGTGTCTGCCACATCTTTTTTATCCATCAATCGATGGACACCTGGGTTGTTTCTATAATTTGGCTATTGTGGATAATGCTGCTATAAACATCACGGTGCATGTATCCCTGTGAATTAATATTTTTGTATTTGGGTAAATACCTAGTAGTGCAATTGCTGGGCTGTAGGTAGTTCTATTTTTAACTTTTCGAGGAACCTCCATACTGTTTTCCAGAATGGCCACACCAGTTTGCATTCCCACCAACAGTACAAGAGGATTCCCCTTTCTCCACATCCTCACCAATACCTGTTGTTTCCTGTGTTGTTGATTATAGCTGACAGGTGTGAGGTATTAGCTCATTGTAGTTTTGATTTGCATTTCCCTAATGATCAGTGATGTTGAGCATTTTTTCATGTGTCTGTTGGCCATCTGGATGTTGTCTTTGGAAAATGTCTATTCATGTCTTCTGTGCATTTTTTAATAGGATTATGAAATGCTATTTTTAAGAGCCATACCTAAAACACGTCAAAATAGAATGGGAGAAAGTAAAGCATGGAAAAGATATACTAGGCAAATAATCAAAGATAGCAAGTATAAAAATACTGATATTAGAGAAAATATGCACACTAAAGGTAAAAATATTTTTAGGGCTAAAGATGATCATTATTATGGAAAAAGAACAATTCAGGAAGAGATTAGACTTTTCTAAAATGTTTGGACGTGGGTGTGTTGGGGGGGAGTGTGTTGACAGAATTACAAGGAGAAAATTAACAAATCTACAAATGTTAGTAGAAAATTTAAATAGAGAGGCACCGGATGGCTCAGTTGGTTAAGCATCTGCCTTGGGCTCAGGTCATGATCTAGGGTTCTGGGATCAAGCCCCACGTTGGGCTCCTTGTTCAGCGGGAGTCTGCTTCTCCCTCTGCTCCTTCTCCTGCTTGTGTTCTCTCTCAAATAAATAAATAAAATCTTAAAAAAAAGAAAATTTAAATAGAATAAAGTTTTATATTAGATGATACAGAGTAATGAACAACACAATTAATAAGCTTGTGAAAGTTGTCTCAGTTAGAAATAGAAAACCTCATTAGACCTGTAATCATTAAAGGAATTTTATTTTAAAATTTTACCCCTACACACACAAAAAAGACAAAGTCTCAGGCTCAGATGATTTTCCTAGTATTCTGTCAAACCTTCAAAAAGAGATAAATCCTATCTTATACAAACTGAAAGAAGAAAGAAAGAAGTTTCCCTGCTTTATTTTATGAGATGAGTATAGCATTAATACCATACCATAAAGTTAATGAATAAAAGCAAAAAATGGTGGCCCAGGCTCACTTTCATGAAAGACGAAGTCCTAAATAATGTATTGGCAAGTGAAATCTAGCAATGTGGTTTTAAAATGTGTAATATATTATGTGTAAGTAATTTTCCAGAAAATCCTATATTTTTAACCTTATCATAGAAAGGAGGAAAACTATATAAATGTGTCAATAGATGTGGTTAAAATTCAACATCAGTGCATGATTACAAACTCATAACAAACTACAAATAACTTTCTTAACCTGATTAATATCTCTTAATACCTATAGCAACTATATTTAGTGTTAAAATATTAAAATTCACTTTAAAGTCAAGAATAAGACAAAAATGCTCACTGTTACCTTTGCTTTTGAACATTTAACTAATCCCTCTAGTATTTATTGGGAAGCAGGCATTTTCTAGAATCTAAAAATCAAAATCTAGTAGAGGAGAAAATAAAAAAAAGAAACTAGAATAGAAATGACTGCTGTGAAGAAAAATAAGCCAGGGTAGGAGACAGAATGTGATAAGGAGAATTTCTGTGGAGTGCAAACGTTTAAGCAGAAAGCCAAATGAGGCCATTTTGGCAGCTGCTCTTGGTTGGGGCCGTCCCGCATCTAAGGCAGGAAGATGCTGGCCGCAAAAAAGATGAAAAAGTCACTGGAGTTGATAACTCTAGGCTCCAGCTTGTTTTGAAAAGTGGAAAGTATGAGCTGGGGTACAAGCAGACTCTGAAAATGATCAGACATGGCAAAGCGAAACTGGTCATCCTTGCCAGCAACTGTCCAACCTTGAGGAAATCTGAAATAGAATACTACGCCATGTTGGCCAAAACTGGTGTCCATCACTACAGTGGCAATAATTGGGCACAGCATGTGGGAAATACTACGGAGTATGCACACTATCATTGATCCAGGTGATTCTGGTATTATTAGAAGCATGCCGGAACAGACTCGTAGAAAGTAAATCACTCAAAATTTTTCTTTAATAAAACTGGCCACAGCTTGTTTAAAAAAAAAAAAGCCAGATGAAGTGGGGGAGTGAGTTACATTGATATCTGGAGAAATCCAGAAGAGAGCTTCCAGGCAGAGAGAACAATCAAAGTACAAATGCTCTGAAGTAGGACCATATTTCTCTTATTGGAGAAATAGCAAGGTCATTGGAATGAGTGGGGGGGAGAGTAATTTTCAGAGATATCTTGGGGCCTTGCAGAATATAGTAAGGATTTGGGATTTTATTCTGAGTGGGATGGGAAGTCACAGGAAGTTGTTGAGAGGAAACAAAAATAGCCTGATTTGACTATTTTAAAAGGATCAGAGCTGCTATGTAGAGAATGGGTTTAGTAACAATGGGGGCCAGGTACAAAGCAAACTAGTGAGGATATGGCAATTGTAAAGGTGAGAGATGATACGGCTTGTATTAGGAAGGAGTGGAAGTGATGAGAAGTAGTTGGATTTTGATATACAGGGTGGCCATAAAGTTTGGAAATATAGATAATTTTATTATTTTATTATTTATTATTATAGTAATAATTTTATTATTGCTCTCTTCCTGGATTTCTCCAGATATCAATGTAACTCACTCCCCCACTTCATTTGGCTTTTTTTTTTTTTTTTAAACAAGCTGTGGCCAGTTTTATTAAAGAAAAATTTTGAGTGATTTACTTTCTACCAGTCTGTTCTGGCATGCTTCTAATAATATCAGAATCACCTGGGTCAATGATAGTGTGCATACTCTGTAGTATTTTCCCACATGCTGTGCCCATTATGCTCATATACTATGAATAAGCCATTTATTCTGTATTCACCTAAGTTTTCAGACTCAGTGATCACCCTGTGTTGCTAATGTAGAGACAGAAGATTTACTAATGGATTAGATGTGAAGTTTGTGAGAACAATCAAAGATGAGTCCAGTGTTGTTGGCCTGAGCAACTTGAGGAATAGAGCTGCCATTTACCAAGAGGAAGATTAGGAGAAGACTAGATTTGACTGGGAAATCAAGCGTTTTGTTTTGACATTGTTACATTTGGGTCATCTGTCTTTTTAAAGAAGATGTTGAGTGGCATTTTGATATTAAGTCTGGGTACAAAGAAAAATCCGTGCTAAAATTTGGGGGAGTCATTTTACTCCCTATTTAGGGAGAGCCTAGCTCAAAATTAAAAGTATAAAGTTTGTAGAGGAAGAAACAAAAATTGTCAGTACTCTCAGATAAAATGTGATAATTAAGAGCACTTGGAAGCCACAGTGCCTGGGTCTGTATCTCAGCTTTATGATTTCCTAGTGTGTGATTTTTGGCAATTTACTTAACCCTCTTACATTTTTTTCTTTTAATCTATAAGGTAATAATAGTACCTACCCCCATGGGGTTGCTGTGAGTATTAAATTACTTAATACCCATGAAGTGTTTAGAACACTACTTGACACAAAGTAAAGTGCTCACTAAGCAGTATCTCCCATCATTATCATTATCATAATTGCCATCATCATCATTATTAAAATTACTAGATCACTTACAAAAAATCTAAAAGCATATACAGAAAACTGTTAAAATACTAAGCAATTTAGCAAGGTTACCAGATACAAAGCCAGAATATAAAGTTCCTAGACACCAGCAACTTTCAGAAAATATAATTTTTAAGAAAGAAATTACAGTATCAACAAAATATATAAGTATATGGAAACCTAACAAAAGATTTGCATACCTTTTATTATGAAAGCTAAAATATATTTCTGAGAGACATAAAAGAAGACTTTAAAGGAGATCCCACATTTTTAAACAGGGAGGCTGAATATCAGGAAAATGGCAGTTATTCCTAGGTTGATCTGTAAATTCAATGTCATTCCAATCAAAAACCCAACGACGATCTTGTATAGGACTTGAAATACAAGAATGGCCAAGATAATTCTGAAGAAGCTAAAAAATGGAAGGACACGCATCCTATTGGATAGCATTATGATAAATAAAACATTGTAGTACTAGTGCAGGGATAGACAAAATAGACTAATTGAACCAATAAGACGCACCTCAGTGTGTGTGTATACATACATACATATGTGTATATATTTGAGCTTTATAGATGAATGGAAAAGAAAGGACAGTTTAAAACATAGCACTGGGACAGTTGCACTATCTATATTGAAAAAAGTTAAATTAGAGCTTTACTTCACACTGTACAAAAAGAAATAAACACCAGATGGGATAATAATCTGAAAGTGAAAAGCAAACCAATTTTATTTTTTTTTTATTTTTTTATTTTTTAAAGATTTTATTTATTTATTTGACAGAGAGAGACACAGCGAGAGAGGGAACACAAGCAGGGGGAGTGGGAGAGGGAGAAGCAGGCTCCCCGCAGAGCAGGGAGCCCGATGCAGGACTCGATCCCGGACCCTGGGATCATGACCTGAGCTGAAGGCAGTCGCTTAACCAACTGAGCCACCCAGGCGCCCAAAGCAAACCAATTTTAAACTCTTAGATGTATATGCATAAGTAACATACTTTCTTTTGTTTTATTACAGTGTATGCTAGCCTGAATTTTGCTCCTAAGACACAGCAGACATTTGGTAGCCAAACAGAACGTACTTCATCATACTCTGGTCTAAATCCAAGTCCAGGAGGCTTCATCCTTCCATCCTATCCTCTCTCATCACCTCGAACTAGTCCAAAGCACGCATCTCTTACCATATCTCCAAGGAAGTCTCAGGATATTTCGATTAACTTCTCCAATTCCTGGCCTCTTAAAAGCTTCGAAGGGGTACCAAAGCCGAGTCCACAGAAAAAGGTTGTCAGACAAAAATCGTCTGACCCTCCAGGTAGAAATGATGGTAAAAATTAATACTTTGTTCAAATTTATTTGTGTTTTTGAAATATTACTTTGGAGTTAGGGCTGTTTGATCTTTAAGAGCTGGTAAACTGCATTTTATTTCTCTGAATTAGTAAGCATCTAGGAAAATGATAGTATGTTAAATAAATCAAACATGTTATATAAAATAAAATTCAAATGAAATTGTCATTTATTTTCTTAATTTTGCACTTTAAAATCATTTTTCAGAACTAGGCAGCTAATAATGCTTTATAATGAACATGAACAGCCCGAGAGCCTAGTAACGAATTTTAGCTTTAGAAATATAAAATATCATAATTACTATAATTAATGCTTAGTATCCATTTATTCTACATTTTTTAATTGCTTAGTATATGTTAAATTTATTTAAAAGGGTTTTCTATTATTTGTTAACTAAAATATTCTTTTCTTAACAATAGCCCTTCCAGGACGCCTGGGTGGCTCAGTCCGTTAAGCAACTGCCTTCAGCTCAGGTCATGGTTCCAGGGTCCTGGGATTGAGTCCCACATTGGGCTCCTTGTTCAGTGGGGAACTGTCTTCTTCCTCTGTCGCTCTTCCTGCTTGTGCTCTCTCTGTCTCTCTCTCTCTCTGACAAATAAATAAAATCTTTAAAAAAAACAATAGCCCTTTCCAAAATAATGAAATTAGCATATAAATTTATTCAAGACAGATCCAATCTCAAAATAAAAAGTCTATTAAGGGCAGCCACTATATCCCACATACTTTCTTATCCCCAGCCTCTGAGCTAAGGTGTACACCTTTAAACTACCCTACCTCAGTGATGTTCTGGTTTATAACATGATCATAAGGTCAATTTGTTGCATGGTTAGTCAGTTTTATCACTTTTTCTTAGCACTACACCTTCATTTCCTCCATTAATTTCTTTCTATGTTTGTCTTTCCTACAAGATCAAATATTGTATTGAAAGCTGAAGAGTTTATTCAGTTTGTTCTCTCGTGTGCCCAACATTACTGCTTTGCATATAGTAGTCACTCACATGTTGCTTGCATAATTAAATGAAGCCAGGCAAGTAGTCCTTCTGGCTTACTTGTGGACTTTATCATACAAATATTAGTTATGATAATGTGTATAAAGATAGAAATTTAACTTGGTATATAGTATTTTTATTTAATATGAAAGAATTTCTGGTAACTCATTTTTGTTGTATTTGTTAGGGGACACTGATACTCCGATCTGATTTTATTTTATTTTATTTTATTTTATTTTATTTATTTATTTTTTTTTTTAAAGATTTTATTTATTTATTTGACAGAGACAGAGACAGCGAGAGCAGGAACACAAGCAGGGGGAGTGGGAGAGGGAGAAGCAGGCTTCCTGCTGAGCCGGGAGCCCGATGTGGGACTCGATCCCAGGACCCTGGGATCATGACCTGAGCCGAAGGCAGTCGCTTAACCAACTGAGCCACCCAGGCGCCCTCCGATTTGATTTTAAATAGTAATCTTCTAATAAAAGACAATGTGTTTTTTAATTTAAAAATGTTGTATTCCAAACACTTGTGATTATAACTCCCAGTTCTCTGAAATTAAAAAAATATAAGTAAAATATGTTTTTTTCATGCAGGAGAAAATTCTCAAGAAAAACTTTCTCCGCTTCAACTTACACCTGCCTTGGTGAGATCACCGTCTTCCCGACGAGGCCTAAATGGGACCAAACCCGTCCCTCCCATACCAAGGGGAATCAGCCTTTTGCCTGATAAAGCTGACTTAAGCACAGTGGGACCCAAAAAGAAAGAGCCTGATGATATTTGGAAGAGTGAAAAAGATAGTCTTACAATTGATCTTTCAGAATTAGATATCAGAGATAAAGATTTGGATCAAGAAGAGGTTAGAGCCAAATATCATTTTTAATTTTTAAATGCTTGTAATTTTCTATAATACGATAGCTGTTATTTAAGGAAAAATCAAGTATTTTTTAATTCCATAACATGTTTTCTTTTTTATAAAAATATTTCATGATCCTTATAGAAAATGTAGAAACTATAGTGAAGTATTGGAAGAAAATTCATCACACCAAATCCCACTACCCAGAATAATTTGCCATTAACACTCTAATGTGTTTTCTTTCAGTATTTCTTCTATGCATATATTATTTCTTTTTAAGTTAAAAGTATGAGTAATATAGCAATATACCCATACACTAATCCCTCCCAAGTGAACAATTTGCATATTTGTTTCCTATTTTTAAATAAATGAAACATAACATAGTTCCCTACCCAATCCAGTTCCTTTCCCTCCTTCACCAGAAGCAACCACTATCACCATTAATTTGTGTTTTATGTATTTTTGTACTTTTAATATATTAATATTTTGATATTTATGATATTATCATAATTGATTTTGGCTTATTCCTTGTCTTTTGCTATTGAAAACAGTGGTGCATTGAACATTCTTGGGTGTCTATTGTGCATATGTACAAGTTTATTTATCTTTATGAAACTGAGGTCATATTATATACTCTTTGAATTCTCAGTCACTCCATTTATACTATAAAAATCCATTGCCAATATGACAACTCTGTACATGCTAATTATGTCAGAGAAGGAATGTGGTTGCTATATTACTTTGGATTCGGAGCACTATTTCCATAGATGCTTTCTTTTCATCATATTAGTCTGCCTGATGTCAGGTTTAAAAAGTGTTTTACATAAAATGTGTAAACTGAAACACTCAATTATATTTTGTGGTCTTATTTTTGCCTGTTTTTAAGATGTAAGCATCATATACTGATTTTACTCAATAAAATAAAGTTAATATTAATGCATATTCATTTTAAGGGCATTTTTTTTTTTTTAGCATTAAGCATGTGTACCAAAATTGGTTCTTAATGAACTAATTAGTCATTCCAACTTCTTTTTTTTTTTTTTTTAAAGATTTTATTTTTATTTTTATTTATTTGAGAGAGAGAGAGAGAAACAGCATGAGAGGGGATAGGGTCAGAGGGAGAAGCAGGCTCCCCGCTGAGCCAGGAGCCCGATGTGGGACTCGATCCCAGGACTCCGGGATCATGACCTGAGCCGAAGGCAGTCGCTTAACCAACTGAGCCACCCAGGCGCCCAGTCATTCCAACTTCTGACTGCTTGTAAAATCTTTCCTCCCCCCCACCCCAGTTGTATTTCACTGGCACTAGGAAGAGAATTCATTTAAAGGGAAGAAAGTTCTAGAAGAGGCATTTTCCTACGTAACTCATAAATTTCATCTGATGCTACATATTTTTGCATTATTTGTATGATACCTTAAAAATAGCCCTTTTTCTTTTAATGAATAATTGAAAGGGTAATTTCAATTTTATAAAATTTTTAATTTTATAAAGTTTATAAAATTTATAGAATTTTGTAAAAATTTCAATTTTATAAAATTATTGATAAATATAGGAGGATAGTACTATTTTTAAATATTCAGCCTTCTAAGGATTTATTAGGGAAGTGGCCATACTGTTGAATCAACCATTATAATTGTTATAATCAAAATGTAAGTGAAACACAATTTATGTATGTTTCTGGGTTCCTTAATTCATTCAGGGTTCTATTCCCAACTTTAATATATTTGTTTGTAATAGCATCTTCTACTCTACATTTCTGGAAACACTTGGCTTCAGAAGTCACATACAGTCATCTGTTATTCTTTGACCCCTAACACTGGCAAACTTGATGTAAACTTCAAATTTTAGAAAACCGATTACTTTTCACAGAATTTCTAAATGGCCACATCCACACACCAATGACCAAAGATTGGCTAGACCTCTCTGACTTCAACTCAGATGTCTACCATCTGATTCAATGATTTATTTACTAATTAAATTTTATTATATTAGTCATTGGTCTTAGTGCTGGAAATACCATGGTGAATAATAGCTTGAGATCCTCCCTCTTAAGGGGCTTACAAAGTTGTTTATATTGGTTGTTTTTAAAATATGTATTTTTACTATGTACAAATATGTTAATATCCATCTTGTTAGTACCAGAATGGAGAGTGGCTTGCTAGGTATGGTAAATGGAATTTAAAATCTTAGGATAACTTTTACTCAGATAAATGTCTTGCAAAGTTAATTGTTTTTTGTTTTTTTTTTTCCTTAGATGCAGAGCTCTCTTAGGTCCCTTCGTAATAGTGCAGCTAAGAAAAGAGCAAAACTGAGTGGCAGTACTTCTGATCTTGAAAGCCCTGATTCTGCAATTAAGCTCGACTTGACTATGGACTCACCATCTCGATCTTCCTCTCCAAACATCAGCTCTTATAGTGAAAGTGGAGTTTATAGCCAAGAATCATTGACTTCTTCTCTGTCTACAACTCCCCAGGGGAAGAGAATAATGTATTTTATTTCTTGACATGTTAAATGAATGCTAATCTTTAATTTGTAGTCTCATCCCTAATATCGTATTTGAAAAAAACTTTTAAACTATTTTCTAGTTCTTAAAATGTTGAAGTACATTTAAAAGACCGTGGAAAAGTTTACAGGTATTATCTAGCTTGGCTTTGGTTTGGGATGGGTGGAGAGAGAGAGAACACATCAGCTATAACTTAGAGCACCTACAGTAATATAAACCCTTACTCCCCAAGCCCTACTTGTTGTTTTGCCTAATATTTATCCTAATATTCTTTGTTCTTTAGCTCTCTTCTAGATCATTGAGTCTTTTGCAGTGGACCTATAGCTGATATTACTGCTTTAATTGAAAACTCAGCACCAATTTCCTCTAATTTGTAGATAAACTCCACTCAGCTGTTAACCTCGCCATTTCTTATATTTTGTTGTTCCATTTTCATGTAGAAGTTTAGGCCTCCATGCCATAGCTTTTGCAGCCTTCTCAGGAGTCTCCCTTATAGCAGTTCTGGAATTAGAGTCATGGCCACCCTAGAGCATTTTTTTCTAGTATAGCAATTCAACAAACTTTTCCAGGTTACCTCAGTGACCTCTAAGTCTTAAACAGTGATCCTACCTTGATTTCTGAGAATTTCTGTGACTCTATTCTAGGATTTTGGGGAATCTCTTCCCTCTTTATTTTAGACAAAAACCTGAGTAGAATTGCTGGGTCATAGGATAGATATACATTTAGCTTTTTAAATAACTGCTGAACAGTTTTCCAAGATATTTGTACAATTTTCTACTCCACTAGCAAAGCATGAGAGTTCCAGTTGTTTCACATCCGTGTTTATATTTGTTGTTGTCAGTCTTTTTAACTTTATTTTCCTTTGATTTTATCCTGAACCATGGTTATCCACAGCTACTAGCTGTAAATATTTAAAATTAAATTTAAATTATTTTCACTTAAGTGAACTGGAATCTTTAACAGTGTAGGTAGAGAATGCATAATAAAAGGACAGATGGTGTTTCATTTCAGCAGGGTGTTTCATTTCAGCAGTTCATAGAATTAAACCAAATTTTTGTGTCCTGCTATGAGACGTTTGTCTTATCCCATGATTCCATTCTCTACATTTTTAACTTAAATAGCAGCTTAATATGCAGTTGGAAATTTTTTCTTACTGGAAATTCCTTTGTTGTAATTACCCAGGGAGAATAATGCAATATATTTACAAAATGAATTTGGAATGGCTACATGGGCTGGTGAAGTAACTGTTTATATTTAGTTACCAGACATTTAAAATACATATTTATCTTTTAGACCTAAAGTCCTTCCCTTATCTTCTATGAATGTGAAATTTTACGTTAAATACTCCTGCAGTTGCAAGGTCTTGTAAATAATTGAGAACCTAGTTGGGAAGAAAAGTTCATTTTATACTATAACATTTAGAATTCACTATTCTCTATATTGTCTCATGGAATTATTCTCTTCAGATTTTGAACTCTGTGAGAAGGAGTTCAATATACCCTCATTTCTGGACTAAATTGCCTTTAATGAATTTCATATTTCCACATTAAGTTTAATAGCTTTAAAACAGTTATTCTTAACCAGCTTGCATCTTGCCTTAAGAATCATGGCAAAGAGAGCCACTATTACGTCATGTGGGGCTTTCATCTTTAAGTGGGTTGGGGAGGAAAAACTCTTGAGAACCACTCTTGTAGAGACTAAAGTATTTTCTTCCATTCAAGTCAGGTACATGGTATAAATGTAAATTGACTAAAAAACCTATCATCTATTCTAGAGAAATTACTCTTTAAAAATGTTTAACATTGGGGTGCCTGGGTGGCTCAGTCATTGGGCGTCTGTCTTCCGCTTGGGTCGTGATCCCAGGGTCCTGGGATCTAGCCTCACATTGGGCTCCTTGCTCAGCAGGGAGCCTGCTTCTCCCTCTCTCACCCCCTCTGCTTGTGTTCCCTCTCTCACTGTGTCTCTCTCTGTCAAATAAACAAATAAAACCTTAAAAAAAATAATGTTTAACATTGACTTCTCACTAGGCCAATTAACAAATATGCTTACCCAACTACTAAGAACTATGCTCCTTTGTAAAATCTCTTTATAATATTCATCACTGGCTTACTGATATTACAACACTTAAATGATTTAAAACAGTTCCTTTACATTCAGATTCAACGATCTTCAGTCACTTTCTTTGTGAAACAAAGCCTGTAGGTCTTTATAATGTCAGAAAAGTATAACAAAATATAATCCAGGAAGAAAATGACATTTGCTAATAAATCCACCTGTTGCTTATCTCTAATTTGTAATGTATTTAAGTCTCTTTTTTTGTGTTATTATCTGTGAGGACAGATAGTATATTAGATTATTAGGAGTCATTTGCTTTAGTTTTGGAATGAACCAACTTTCTTTGGATCAGTTTTGTTTTTTTGGGTTTTTTTGACCCAACAAAAGGTTATATAGTACGAGTTAGAGAATCTTCCCTGCCTTTTGTAATCCTCTCATGAAAAATTTAAGAATTACCTATATGTTAAATGGTTGGAAGTTCTAAAAGTGAACTAGGAATACCAATAAAAAAATATTCTTAGCTATAGTTTTCATACTTGCTCCTGCCTTACTATCTAAGAATGTTGAACAGCTTTAGATCTTAAATGTTTATTGGAATTACTTTGTTTCATTGTAGGTCAGACATATTTCCGACATTTGGATCAAAATCTTGTCCAACGAGACTTTCTTCTGCAAAGAATAAAATCTCTGAGATAGCTGACCAAAGCCTCAGTGCAGGTATTTTATAACTGTTTTATAAATATGATTTATAGAAAGTATGATTTTTAAATGATACCAAAAATGGTAAAAAAATGCATTTCAGATATAGAATTTTTGTAGTTACCAATTAAGACTAATCATCTTTTTAGCTCCTTAAAAGGCCTTTTTTTGGCAAGAATAAATATTGTTTTATTCTTGGAAGAAAAATTATTTACCTAAATAATTGATCCCCCTTTAAGCCCATAGGTGTACCTATGCCTGGCTCTTCCATCCGGACATTTTGGTTTAATTGATATGAAATGTGACCTGGCCACCAGAGGTTTGAAAGCCCTCAGGTTGATTCTAATATGCAGCACAGTTTGGAAGCCACTGAAGTATCACAAAAGACAATTTGGTTTAAAAACAACACTTAGCTAGTATTTAAGTTCATTTGTATCTTGTTAAGAATTTTGTGAACTAACCTGGAAGTCTCTAACGTATAGCATCACTTTTCAGAAAATAGATTTAGTTATTAGTAATCTTTTGGAGAAATATTTGGATCCTGATCTATTTAAGGATGGAAACTGCATGTGATTCTTCTTTATGATTGGTAACAGTATATTAGATTATGAGTGAATTATAACAAATTGGCATTTATTTTCACATGATCTCAGTATGAAAGTCCTAACAACTTTAAGGGTACTCTACCTTACATTATAATTTCCTCTCTAAAAACTATGTATGTATGTATTTGTCTACTAAGACTTTTAAATTTCTGATTCCTAAATATGTCTTAATTTCATCTCCTCTTTTTAGTCTCCACTATCACTTTTACTCATTTCTTATCCATTTAGCCTCTTAAGATTTCTCTCCAGCTTCAGTCTCATTCTTGTTCCCCACAATGCAAGTCTGACTGTATTGACCAGCCTAAATTTATTTAGGGCATTCTTCTATGATCTGTCCCTGTCTACCTCTCCCGCCTCATATTTCACTTCCTTTGTAATTTTGTGTTCCAGTTAAATCAGACCACTTTCAATACCACTTCTTCTCTTTTTGCAGTTGCATGTACCATTTTTTCTGGGTGAAATCTGGAATCTACACCACACCCCATTCAGCTGTAAAAACAGTGCAGTTGCTTTTTCTGAAAACCTTCCCCATTCACAAACAAAATTGATTATTACCTTCATGGTATCATTATATTTTGCACTGATACCTTTATAGTGGTATTACCATTATTTTACTTCTCTGGACTCTCAGATTCTCAGATCCTGATTATCTACCTAGTGCCTTCGTTATCACAAATGCCTAATTCAACCATGCATGCCTGGTACATTGGCTTCCAAAAGCTAGTGTTCCACAAAGAGTTAGTTAATCTATTAGGCACAGGAAGACAATGTATATGTGCTTTGGAGTCTGAAAGACCCCAGCTGGAATCCCGGTTTGACCATATTCATGAGCTGGGCAAGTGATTTAACTGCTTTGAAACTCAGTTCCCTCATCTGGTAATGTAAACCTTGAGAAGGGGTAATGAACAGTTAAGTATAAGCACCTAATGCACAGGGGACACTTGGCTTTTGTTCCTTTAAAGGAAAAGACACAAAGAAACATAACACATAAACTTATTCTTTAATCTCTTTTTAAGGCTGATTATTATAGTAAATTATTCATAACTTTATTTATAGAAGTTATTGGTAGCCTGTGTCTTATTTACAAAAGTGGAGCCCTCTTCTGGAAGAATATGTTTGGAGTTAGAAAAGAGTAGATTTAGAAAACCTAGATTTGAGTTTCCCCCTGACCTCATAAGTCACTTAAGTTTTAGTAAAGTGAAAAAGTTCTTAAAACAGTACATACTTCATTATACAGTATTCAGTGTTTGCCAAACTTGTCTAATATTTAGTATTTCTTAAATTTGCCTAGTCCTAGGGATCACCAGGGATGCTTGTAACACAGATTCTGGGACCTCACCTCACAAATAATGAATTGATCGTCAGAGTTAAAAATCTGTATTTTTAACAAATACACATTTCTAAGATCAAGTTTTGGAAACTCTACTGTTGAATTCATTGTGAGATATTCTTGGTTAAATTTAATATGCCCTCAAACTGTAAGGTTGCTAATGGTTTAGGATCTTACAAACTTGGGTTTACATTTTTTGTTTTTTGTGGGATAAGGTTTTGTTTTTAGTAAGCAAATGATTCCTACAAGTTTATCATTTAACTGATAAAGTGTAAAAATGAGTAATGCTCCGAGTAAAGATTATCTGAAAACAAAACCAAAAATAATTATGTAGAAACTATAAATCCAACTTGTCTTTGTGTTCTAATGTCCAATAAATATTTCCACATGTAATCCACCACTACCTATTATAGCACATAGGTAAATGTGCTATAGATAATTTACATAGGTAAATTTCCTGAATTATGTTATAGCAAACTTTTTTCCTGTAACATCAGATTAGTAATACCTGTTATTAACAGAAAGCATTTACACCCAAAACCAGTATCTTTATGAGGATACCTTTATGAATTATCTATCAAAACTAAGAAGAGTGTAGACAGATATCCATGTTACTCCCAGAAGTTCTCTATTAACACCAGATATTTTTTGACTCTCTATGAACGACTTAGTGCCTTTTATTCTACAGTCCTCTGTTGACAAGTTGCCACCAGCCACCCCTTCTCCTCACAATCCTGTTTTTATTAAAAAACCCACAGTCATATTAAGAACAAATTGTATTTTGTTACTACTATTTAATGGTATTTGTAAGGAGCTATATATATGAAAGTGGATGGTGACTTAAATATATATTGTGTAGGATTTTCCATTTAGTAGATATTTTGTGGTTTTAATAGCTTCAAAGTATTGGTATAGGGTGGTCAGTTGAAACATTCAAATGTAGATTAAAATTTTTGATATTTGTTAAAAGGAGGTCCACATTAGGGTTTTGATTTTTTTTAAAGATTTATTTATTTAGGGCGCCTGGGTGGCTCAGTTGGTTAAGCGACTGCCTTTGGCTCAGATCATGATCCTGGAGTCCCAGGATTGAGTCCCGCATCCGGCTCCCTGCTCTGCAGGGAGTCTGCTTCTCCCTCTGACCCCCCTCTCCTGCTCTCTCTCTCTCATTCTCTCTCTCAAATAAATAAATAAAATCTTTAAAAAAAAAAAAAGATTTATTTATTTATTGGTGGGGGGCAGGTGGGGAGGGAAAGAAAGAATCTCAAACACTCCACTGAATGCGGAACCTGACCCGAGGCTCGATCTCACAACCCTGAGATCATGACCTGAGACGAAATTAAGAGTTGGATGCTTAACTGACTAAGCCACCCAGGTTCCCTGATTTCTTTTATTTTTAGTTAGGAATATAACATTTGGGTATTTACAGTATGTTAGGCACTATGCTAGGCCCTTTACATGTATTTTCTTAATCCTCACAGCCATTCTGGAAGGGGTAATTCTGTTATCCTCCATTTTACAAATAAGATTGTCTTGCCCAGGTTCTGTCAGGGGCTTAAGTGGCAATGCTATGATTTATAGCCAGGAAGCATGATTCCAGATTCTGAGCTTAGTCACTGTGGGGTGTACTGCTTCACCAGCCAGACCAGTATAGATCCATTACACAAGAGTGGGAGAGAAGAGAGAAATGGAAAATATCTCTCAGGATACAGTTTAAAAATTCTAGATTTAAAAATCTTTCTTTCTGCTATAAAGGTTTATATGTCATTTAAACATTAAATGCCTGTCATATTTTAAATATGTATATATATATATATATACTTGGTTATCTCTTCCAAACATTGAATTTTGTATTTCATTGTAATTTTAAAGCCTGTTTTATAAAATGTTTCAGATATAGTTTATAATAAATGTTCTTAACTGCTAGTAAAAAGTATAACAAAATTTAAAATATGATACAACTTTGAATTACTATAATGTTATAATTTCTAATATTATGTCACTGACCTTTTTAAAAGTCTAGAAAGCAAGATAGATTTAGAAGGGGAGATATGTACCTATCTATAATATTACCTGAATCATTCAAATAAATATTTTTATGTATTTTATTTTACAGGGATTACAACATCCAATGTAAGCATAATTGGTCAACGTATGAACTGTGGGTTTGGATGTGGTGATTTTGAAGATGATAGGTTCCATGACATTTCACCTAGTGTTTTCAAAATACAAAATAAGGAACACCCAAGACATTATAAACATACAAAAGGTTAGTAAATTTCACAAGTTAATTTTTAAGATTGAATGTCTCTAAATCTTAAATTAAGTGTCTCAGAATTCTCCCTAAGCATTCCAATAACCTGAGATTTCTCAGTTTTGAGATTTTTCTTACCCCTCTGCTGATGTCTTAATTGCTTCAGTAATTCTGCCAAATAAGAGAACATGCAGGTTCATGTATTGGTTAATGGGCTTACCTGAGAAGCCAAAGCAGGGAAGCAACTACCCAAGAGGTTAAAACTAAGGAATCTTGGGGCTCCTGGGTGGCTCAGTTGGTTAAGCAACTGCCTTTGGCTCAGGTCATGATCCTGGAGTCCCGGGATCGAGTCCCGCATTGGACTCCCTGCTGAGCAGGGAGTCTGCTTCTCCCTCTGATCCTCCCCCCTCTCATGCTCTCTCTCTCTGTCTCATTCTCTCTCTCAAATAAATAAATAAAGTCTTTAAAAAAAAAAAAACAAAAAACTAAGGAATCTCTGGTGATGTCTCCCTCTGCCAAGATTACACACACACACACACACACACACACGTGTTACAAGACATTTTACCACTAAAATGGGGTAGAGAAATCATGTGAATAAATAAATCCCAGATGCCTACTTAGGTTGTAACCATGGAATAAACTGTGGAAACAGGAATATAGGTTTCCTGTGGTAGAACCTGGGAAGGCTTCTTTGTTATCACTAACCATTATTAATAATTTACATCCTTTTTTTTTCCTTTAAATTTAGTGTAGCAAGTAGCTCCTCTGTGACTGCTCTGTTCATTTTTTCAGAGAACCTATTATAGCTACATTTTTAAAAATTTCCTTTAGGGTAAAGAGGAAGTTATTTTAATGTATATAAATATTTAAATATAATAATTAGAAGTAACTGTATTTAAATATTTACTCTACTAGTAACTGTAAGGAGCTGTCATTTTTTATTTGTAGCAACCATGATTGTAATAGGTCAACTTTTGTTATTTCTGATCATCTGAAGTCGTGTGTGTGTAGGCAGTCAGGCATTTTAGGACATGTGTATTTTTTTGTGGAAATAAAGGGAAGTTGCTTGGAACGTTTTTTCTTTTTTTTGTGAATTTTTAAAAAATTTCATCCATGATGTAATTCAATATCTGTTCTTTGTGGAAGGTTTTTTTTTTTTTTTTTTGAAGATTTTATTTATTTATTTGACAGAGAGAGACACAGTGAGAGAGGGAACACAAGCAGGGGGAGTGGGAGAGGGAGAAGCAGGCTTCCCACCGAGCAGGGAGCCCGATGCGCGGGGTTTGATCCCAGGACCCTGGGATCATGACCTGAGCCGAAGGCAGACGCTTAATGACTGAGTCACCCAGGTGCCCCGTGGAAGGTTTCTTCTCTCTCATTGTTTTTACAAAAGAGAATGACAGGGTTTTTTTCCTATATACTTACATATTTTATTTCTCATGTAAAGATAATCAATACAAAAATACTTTTCTTCCTAAAAGTAACTCATACCCTAACATATAATTTTTTAATTTTCTTTTTTTTAAATTGCTTTGAAATAATTGCTGAATATATTCATTCACTACTAGTGGCACCGTTTTTGGACAGCAGAATCATAGAAATATTTATATCTTTTGAGTAGCAGTTATTTCTACTCCAGAAAATTACTTCTCACATACACTTCCAACTCTAAACCAAACACCTACTGTATCTGTCTGGTCAACGAGAATAAACATGTTCAAAAACCAAACTTACCCTCCTTTCCAGACCTGTTCTTCTCACTTTGTTTTCATTTTTATTAGTAGCATTACCATTTTTCCAGTTATGGGGACTTAAAACTTTAGAGTCATCTTGTCTACTTCTCTTTACCCTCCAAGTTCAGGCAGTGACCATCTTACCAGTTCTGTTTAATCTAGGCCTTCATTACCTCTTCCCTGGATAATTGCAATAGTCTTCTGAATAAGACATCTTGCTTCTTATTTTATCCATTTTTACTCCAGGCTGCTTACCCTTCCAGAATTATCTTTTTGAAGTATAGTTACCATCTCTTCCATACTCAAAACCTTGAGTGGTTCCCTATTTCCCACAGAATAAATTTTGTGCTCTGCAGCAAAATTTTTAAGACCCTTAATAATCTTCCTCAGCTGAACTTATTGCATTATCTCTTACTTCTCTTTTCATTCCCCCATGCTCTGGCATTCTTAGTACTAGACGTTTTCTTAGTTGGCATGTATAGTTAGTTGTCCTAGATGTCTGTTTCTGATCCTAATGTGTTCACATCATGTCTGCTTTTTGAATACTGGCTTAAAATCCATTTCTTTAGAAAGTTTTCCCCACTTAACTGGCCTGGAGTAGTATAAATTATTTAAAAGTAAAGATATTGTCATCTTTATATTCCTGTTAGGCTTTGCATGTAATGGCGTCCGATGCCACATGTTAAATGAATGGAGTGGTGATGAGCCAACCCAGACTAACAGTGTAGCCTTGGATACAGTCAATCAAACATTGCATCCTCAAATAATCAGATTAAAATGAATTTTGAGTACAGTGCTGAAGAGAATAAAACAACTTCCAAAAGAAATATTGGCAATAGGTGGCATATGTGAATGGATTCATTTTGCAAGAAACTTCAGACGGTTTTAGGATTAGCTTTCAGAACCACTTCTTCCCATTCCACTCCTCTGCTGATTGTTCCTTTGAACCTACCCATTTTATAGCATACTAATGTAGAGCCACAATTAATGACTTGAGAAAGTGATTAGTGATGGATGCTTAGAGTTTTAGCAAACTAGCTTTTATGAGTTAGTATTTTCTTTCGCTATTTGGATGAATGAGACAGAAGTAACAAAAAGGTTATATAAGAGTAGCTTATGTGTTAAGAGTCTTTTAAGCTTATTTTTTCTTTATATTTTACAATTGAGACTCAATGAGCAATATTTCTTTCAGTATTTTGTTTACAAGAAAATATAGTGTAAAAAGTAAAAGTAACATTAAAAATGATCAGCTTCTCTGATAAATGAAGTTAAACTACTTAAAGATAACATGTTCTTTATGTATTTCCTCAGATTTGTCTAATTATTCAGTTATCTCTTGACAGACTATGTATACACTTTATGTTTATGGACGGATGTTGAACAAATTGTTCCATTTACTGAGATTTGCTTTCCTTTGTCACTTAACATCTTTTGAGTTTACTTGAGGTTTCTATTCGTTGACCCCAAATTAATTATATTTTGCTTTCCATTTTTTTTTGCCTTGTAACATTCGTCTAACATATATTTATTGAATACCTACTATCTGCCCTACTAAGAGGCTCTGGAAAAGAATGATAATCAAAACCAGACATGGGTCCTATCTCCATAGAGTTTATAGTCTAGGAGTAAGAGAATAATTAAATAATCACAAACTGAGGTGAAAGTTAACCTAGAAAGTTTCAGATTGCTGTGAGATTGACTTGGTCTGTTTTCAGGAGTCAGAGGCTTTCCTTCATGGTTACCCTTTTGTTGCTCAATTATCATGCTGTGCTTATTTTCTTGTATATCTTTCCCAATCTTAACTCTGACATGTATAAACTCCTTAGGTGAAGGAAGGTTTCTTTTCTCTCTACTTCCTAGTCCAGATGAGGTATTCTAATTTCAAAATTTATTGAATTAATAAGTAAGTGTGAATAAATAAATTATAAAATCAATGTATGAAGTAAAATTTCTGTTTTAAAGGACCATGTTACAATATCCTAAAATACTATAAAAACAATATTAAAATGTGAGGTGTTTTTTGTTTGTTTGTTTCTTTAGCATTTATAGGGTCATCATCAAATTTACAGCAAATTCCCAGTTTTGACTTCACATCCACAAATACCTTACCAGAAGACTCAGTGGTTGTTGTTGGAAAAGGTATTTCCAAGTTATTTAGCTTGTTAATTGTATGTGTTCTCCACATGTAAGCAAAGGATATCATTAAAGAACAGAGAAGAGTGTGATTCAAGTGTTGATTAGAACTTTTTTTATTAGAACTTTCTTTTTAAAAAATTATTAAATTGAAAGAATTAGAAGTGAGTACTTAATTTTACATTTCTGTCTTCTAACAAAACTAAGTAAATTCATGTCAGTAATTTTCAGAGAGATGTATTATGTAACAGCTGCAGCTTAGATACTTCTAAGACACTTTTAGGATAGCTAAGACAGTTTTATCATAGTTCAAATAATAGTCCTTATTTATAATTTATCAGCTTAGTATTTAATATAATTTCATTATTTTCCATACAGAGTCTAGACAAATCAGAATTAACACCTGTTATATATATTTTGGGGGACTAGAGGACCTTTGAACAATATATTTGCAAATATTCTTTAAAACTCTTTTTTCTTTTCAACTTTATTGAGGTGTAATTGACAAATAAAATTGTAAGGTATTAAAGTGATTATTTGATATCCATATACATTGTGAAAGGCTTCGCCCATCAAGTTAATTAACCCATCTCAATTAGTTTCTTTTTTAATCGAAAAAGTAGAATGTGATGATAGACATTGAAGGTGCACATCTTCTTTTTGGTAAATATAGTGAAATAGGATGAAATGCTTGGAAAGCTTTCCTAATTGTTTGCTTGGTAGAGTCCAATTAAGTTAATCTGAGGCCCTTCTCAGATTGGCTCCAGCCTACCCTTGCAAACTTAGTTTCTGTTATTCCTGTTTGCCTTGTGCCCAACCAAACTGAGTTATTCATTTCACATACACACTTTATACTTGTTCAGCTCTGCTTCTAAGCATTACCATCTTATAGGATGCCCTCCCCTCCTTCTTCACTTATCTGTCCAAATTCATTGTGTCTTCCAATCTCAGCTCAAATCCTTGCTTCTTGAAATCATCTTAAACACCCAGCTCATACCAACCTTTCCTTCATTTAAACTCATTATTACAATATGCAGTTCTCATTTAATATTGTGAAACGTCTGGTGATACCTCCTATATGATTGTCCTGTTAGGGTATTTATTTTTATATTTATTATTATTTAACATGTTTTTCTTACGAACTATATTGTTTATTTCTTAAAGTCAAGAGCTTGTCTTTAACTTTGTTATTAGAGTGACATCACGTAAATACTTAACTGCAATTTGATGGTGGGTTAATTTCAGGTGTATTTGGAAGTCCAAATTCAGCACCAGCAGCCTGCAGCCAATCAGTGATATCTTCTGTGGAAAATGGAGATACATTTTCAATTAAACAAAGCATTGAACCACCATCAGGAATTTATGGAAGAGCGGTCCAGCAAAATATTCCATCATATGTTGATGTTGAGAATGAAAAGGATGTAAGATTATTTGCTGATTATTAGTATAAACTCAAGCCTATATTACACCATTGTGTTGTGTTCATCAGATTTGGGTGGTGAAGGTGTTTTGATTAAAATTTTTAAAATCTCAGGATAATTGAAATTTCTGCTCCTTAATCATTTAAATAATGGGTTATTCTTCTTTCCAGCAAATATATTCTCATTCTGATATAAAGTATCTAGTATACTTTATACTATACATGTACTTTATATATATATATGTGTGTGTGTGTGTGTGTGTGTTTACATATTCAGCAATTTTCTAGGACACTCAAGGAGTAAGAGACTGGTATCCTTAGGCACAAATTTAGTTATGATATTAGCACCATGTAATTCTAGTCAATTTTAGAATTCCTGAAATAAGAACTAAAAAATGTAGTTTATTTTTTTATATGTAGACACTTAATGTCTATATACATTTGTCTGAAATGAAGATAGTTATTTTAAATATCGAACTCCCTGAATACTTTCAGATATTTTCCACTTTTTCATTCAGATTAAAGGTTCTATTTCAAAATCTACTTATGACAAGATGAGACAAAAGAGAAAAGAGGAAAAAGAACTTTTTGACATTAAAGATTGTGAAAAGAAGGAACAGAATTCCTGGGAGCGAATGAAACATACAGGAACTGAGAAGATGACATCTGAAAGTAGGTGGAATTTAACTTTTGGTGTGTTATTTAACTGATACTATTCTAAAGCTAGTGTACCTGTGGTTTAACTGAGGGCTAATAATGGAATATGTTGAACCATAACATTGAAATTTGCAAGACCCAGTAGCTTTTTTATAATAAATATTAATTATTTCTCATAAAGAAGGAAGTTGATTGATTGTTTTTCTCCCTTCTAGACTTAAATATTTTTGGAGATGAGGTGGGAATATCAAAAAATGAGAGTTCCCCTTTAGAAAATATTGCCTTCAGCCCTCAATTGAAAGGAGGGACCTGTTTAAAAAGGTCATCTTTAGTGTTTTCAGATTCAGGTAAGTAACTTGTTTAAATGTAAAGAATAATGTCACAAATGCTGGTTAAGCTCAAGAGACCACATATGGTTCAGTGCATTTGTGATGAAAAGAGCACTAAGCTAGTAGGAGTCAGTAGACAGACCTGGCTTCATAATTATCAGGACTGCCTTTTAATTAACTTTCTGACCTGCAAATAGGCCTCAGTTTTCTGCCCCTATAAATATCCAAATTATCTCAAAGGTCTCCTCCATGCTCCCTGCAAATATTCCTATTTCACTAAGGAGTGGTATCCCATTTTATAGCTGGGGTTAAATGAGACTGTGAAGTTGGTTTATATTAGATCATGATTTTAAAAAATCATTGTATTTATCACTTATTCAGCCTGCCATTCAGTACTTACTAGGTTCTATACCTGGCCAAGAGTGGCTTCCAGTTTCCTGTGCTGTTTTTAAAAATATTAAATAGGACTCAGGCCCCTAAGTGGGAGGTGGAACCCTCGCTGGGACAGTGTGGTCTCAGGATCCTCGGGGTCACAGGAAGACCAGGGCTACCTGAGTGTGGCAGAGCTCCCATGTATCGGAGCAGGTAAGCCAACTGTAATCAGTGAGCCCAGGAGTGGGCTTTCAGCTCGGGGTTTCCATAAACTGTGATTTGAGGCACAGTCGGGCCACTGCTCTTTGAGCAGGGGCCCAACAAGCAGCAGAACCAGGGAGAGCCCTCTTTTTTCCCCGGGAGGAGTGGCGTGAGAGCGTGCCCCAAGAGTCTGCTGGGTTTGGAGACTCCAAATGCGGCCGTGTGCCTTACATAGAAACACTTGGTCACAGGTTGGGTGAGGACGGAGTGCGGCTGGAGAGCTGGGAGACGAGTGATTGACTGCTTTTCTCTGAGGGCTCACAGAGGAGTGGGGCCCCGAGCTTTTGGCTCCAGGGCTGGAGATTGGGAGGCCACCATTTTCATTCTCATCCTCAAAAGCTGTGCAGAAAGCCTTCAGGGAACAAAAGCCACATAGAGCAAACCAGAGCAGATTACGTAGCCTGGCCCCAAGCAAGGATGGAGCAATTCCGCATGGAGAAGACCTTTGAGAATCAATGCAACAGGCCCCTCCCCCAGAAGATGCACAAGTCTGTGGAGTTTGGTGTGTGCAGAGAGGGAGACAGATTGACCTGGAGATCTGTTGAGTGGGGAGGACTGTGACATTACTGCTCTAGGCCAGAGATTCCTGCAAAGCCATGTTTGCTCTGTCACTCTAAAGAGAAGCGAAAAGATGCCAAGGAACAAAAGTGGCTTAGCCAGCCAGCTCACATTAAGCCCATCTCCCTGACAAGGGGTGAGGCAACTCCACCCAGGCAAAGAGGCCTGAGAAGCCGAGCAGCAGGGCAACAGGCCCCTCTCCCAGAAGACAGACTGGAAAAACAGGGGAATAAGTTTAAGCTTATTTCCCATAGGACTCTAAAACACCAGTGCCAGGGGAAAATAATTTGGGAGCTCAAGGTGTTCCACCACGACTCGCTGATACTTAAGGCTAAAATCTTAAATTTCTTTGTTAGTTTCTTTTCTTCTTTTTTTTTTTTAACCCTGATCCCGTTTCAAATAGATTTGTATTTCCCAGCCTATGTTTTTAAGTCGTTTCTTAACTTTTATTTTCTTTTTCACATATATGTTTTATAGATTTATACCCCATTATAGCCTGTTTTTCACTCTCTTCAATTTTATCTTGCTATATATATGTAAGTTCTGATTTCTTTGCAATTTGGGGATATAGTTTCTTCTAACACAGAGACCAAAAATCAAGCAGGAACAAGCAGAACACCCTCTGTGTCCACTCTGAGAGATTACAATCTCTCTCCCTGCCCTCCCCCCTCCTTTTTTTTTTTTTTCCTTTTTTCTTTCTTTTTTAATGTTTTGGATCATCTTGGCTTTGATAGAGTATCTGTAGTAGCTTTCAACCACTTTGGATTTTTTCATAGTTACATTTTGCTTGGGTTGTGGTTGATATTTTGGACTCGGTACATTCCCTCACCCATTCCTCAACAGAATGACTAGGAGGAGGAACTCCCAACAAAGGAAAGAACCAGAGACCATATCCTCTGCCACAGATCTAATGGATATGGATATAAGCAAGATGTCAGAGAAAGACTTCAGGGTAGCACTTATGAAATCAATAGCTAGGCTTGAGAAAAGCATTAGCAACAATATAGACTCTCTAAGGGCAGAAATGAGATCTAATCAGGCTGAACTTAAAAATGTTTTGAATGCAATGCAGTCTAAACTGGAAACTCTAACAGCCAGGGTATATGAGGCAGAAGAACGAATTCATGATCTAGAAGATAAGCTGATAGAAAGGAAGGAAGCTGAGGAGGATAGGGATAGGCATCTAGAAGCCCATGAGAACAGACTTAGATCAATGACACCATGAAACGTTCCAATGTCAGAATTATTGGGATTCCTGAGGGGGTGGAGAGAGGGGGAGGACTAGAAGGTATATTTGAGCATATCACAGCTGAGAACTTCCCTAATCTGGGAAAGGAAACCAGCATTCGTGTCCAAGAGGCAGAGAGGACCCCTCCCAAGATCAATAAAAATAGACCAACACTCTGGCATATACTAGTGAAACTTGCAAATCTTAGAGCCAAAGAAGCTATCCTGAGAGCAGCTAGGGGGAAGAGATTTCTTACGTACAGAGGCAGGGAAATCAGAATAACATCAGACCTATCCACAGAGACCTGGCAAGCCAGAAAGGTCTGGCAAGACATTTTCAGGGTACTAAATGAGAAGAACAATTAGCCAAGAATACTTTATCCAGCAAGGCTGTCATTCAGAACAGATGGAAAGACTGGGCGCCTGGGTGGCTCAGTTGGTTAAGCAACTGCCTTCGGCTCAGGTCATGATCCTGGAGTCCCTGGATCGAGTCCCGCATCGGGCTCCCTGCTCGGCAGGGAGCCTGCTTCTCCCTCTGAGCCCTCCCTCCGCTCATGTGCTCTCTGTCTCTCTCATTCTCTCTCTCAAATAAATAAATAAAATCTTTAAAAAAAAAAATCTTTAAAAAAGAACAGATGGAAAGATAAAGAGCTTCCAGGACTGGCAGAAAGGGAAAGAATATGTGACCACCAAGCCAGCCCTGCAAGAAATAATTAAGGGGAATTCTATAAAAGAAGAAAGACCCCAAGAGTAATATAGACCAGAAACTTACAGAGACAATCTATACAAACAGAGACTTTATGGGCAATATGATGGCATTAAATTCATATCTTTCAATTGTTACTCTGAATGTGAATGACCTCAGTGCTCCCATGAAAAGGCATAGGGTTTCAGATTGGATAAAAACACAGGACCCATCCACATGCTGTCTACAAGAGACTCATTTTGGACCTAAAGACACCTCCAGACTGAAAGTGAGGGGATGGAGAACCATTTATCATGCCAATGGACCTCAAAGGAAAGCTGGGGTAACAATTCTCATATCAGACAAACGAGATTTTAAACCAAAAACTGTAATAAGAGATGTAGAGGGACACTGTATCATACTTAAAGGGTCTATCCAACAAGAAAATCTAACAATTGTAAATCTCTATATCCCTAACATGGGAGCAGCCAACTACATAAACCAACTATTAACCAAAATAAAGAATTGTATTGATAATAATACATTAATAGTAGGAGACCTTAACACTCCACTCTCAGCAATGGACAGATCATCTAAGCAGAAGATAAACAAAGAAATGAGCTTTGAATGACACATTGGACCAGATGGACTTCGTAGATATATATAGAACATTCCACCCTAAAACAACAGAATACTCATTCTTCTCAAGTGCACATGGAACATTTTCCAGAATAGACCACATACTGCATCACAAATCAGGTCTCAACCCATATCAAAAGACTGAGATTATTCCCTGCATGTTATCAGACCACAGTGCTTTGAAACTGGAACTCAATCACAAGAAAAAAATTGGAAGGAATTCAAACACTTGGAAGTTAAAGAGCATACTGCTGAATAATGATTGGGTCAACCAGGAAATTAAAGAAGAATTTTAAAACTTCATGGACACAAATGAAAATGAAAACACATCGGTCCAAAACCTATGGGATACTGCAAAGTCTGTCCTAAGGGGGAAATACATAGCCATCCAAGCCTCTCGCAAACAAGTAGAAAAATCCCAAATGCACAAGCCAACCTTACAACTAAAGGAGTTGGAGAAAGAACAGCAAATAAAACCTAAACCAAGCAGAAGAGAAGTAATAAAGGTTAGAGCAGAAGTCAATGAAATAGAAACCAAAAGAACAGTAGAACAGATCAATGAAACTAGAAGCTGGTTCTTTGAAAGAATTAATAAGATCGATAAACCTCTGGCCAGACTTATCCAAAAGAAAAGGGAAAGGACCCAGATCAATAAAATCATGAATGGAAGGGAAGAGATCATGACTAACACTGAGGAAATAGAACAATTACTAGAAATTATTACCAGCAACTATATGCCAACAAATTAAGGAACCTGGAAGAAATGGATGCCTTCCTGGAAACTTATAAACTACCAAGACTGAAACAGGAAGAAAGAGACAATCTGAATAGACCAATAACCAGTAATGAAATTGAAGCAGTAATCAAAAACCTCCCCAAAAAACAAGAGTCTGGGGCCAGATGGCTTCTCAGAGGAATTCTGCCAAACATATAAAGAAGAAATCATACATATTCTACTGAAGCAGTTCCAAAAAAATAGAAATGGAAGGAAAAGTTCCAAAACTCGTTCTATGAGGCCAGCGTTACCCTGATCCCAAAACCAGACAAAGACCCCACCAAAAAGAAGAATTACAGACCAATATCCCTGATGAGCATGGATGCCAAAATACTCAACAAGATCCTAGCCAATAGGATCCAACAGTACGTTAAGAGGATTATCCACATGACCAGGTGGGGTTTATTCCTGGGATACAAGAGTGGTTCAACATTGGCAAATCAATGTGATACACTACATAAATAAAAGAAAGGACAAGAACCATATAATCCTCAATAGTCCCAGAAAAATCACTTGACAAAATACAGCATCCTTTCCTGATTAAAACTCTTCAGAATAGGGCGCCTGGGTGGCTCAGTTGGTTAAGCGACTGCCTTCGGCTCAGGTCATGATCCTGGAGTCCCTGGATCGAGTCCCGCATCGGGCTCCCTGCTCGGCAGGGAGTCTGCTTCTCCCTCTGACCCTCCCCCCTTTCATGTGCTCGCTCTCATTCTCTCTCTCTCAAATAAATAAAATCTTTAAAAAAAAAAACTCTTCAGAATATAGGGATAGAGGGAACATACCTCAATATCATAAAAGCCATCTATGAAAATCCCACAGCGAACATCATTCTCAATGGGGAAAAACTTTTATTTCTTTTGTTGTCTGTTACTGAGACAAGGACTTCTAGTCCTATGTTGAACACAAGTGGTGAGAGTGGGCATTCCTGTCATGTTCCTGACCTTAAGGTAAAAGCTTTCAGTTTTTCCATTTCTTCCAGGTTCCTTAATTTGTTGGCATATAGTTGGTGGTAATAATTTCTAGTAATTGGTAATAATTTCTAGTAATTGTTCTATTTCCTCAGTGTTAGTCGTGATCTCTTCCCTTCCATTCATGATTTTGGTATTTTTGGAATTCGGCTAGAACTCTTTATACAGGGACTCCTGGGTGGCTCAGTCGGTTAAGAATCTGACTCTTGGTTTCAGCTCAGGTCATGATCTCTGGTTCCTGAGATCCAGCCCCCCAGCACGCTCCACACTGAACATGCAGTTTGCTTGTCTCTCCTGCTGCTCCTCCTCCTGCGCATGTGCTCATGCGCTCGCTCTCTCTAGAAGAAATAAAATCTTAAAAAAGAAAAGAAGAATTCTTTACACAGATGCTATGAAGCTTCATTTTCAGTTGTCATTTGTATAGTAAAACGGGTATATATCCACATGTTTTTATAAAATGGGATCATAATATTTCTTACTGATTTTTAGCTCTTAAAACTAGACTTTATTATAGGACTCATGACTGGAAACACCACCTATATATTTATATTTGATATAATTAAATAATTTTGTATGTAAGAAGTAAAGTTTTAAATAGCTTTGTTGTCCCGAGTATTACAATTTTATTAAAGACTAAACTGATAATACTTGTTTCCATAAGAAATATTCATAGAATCTGTATTCAGAATATCATTTTTATCAGAGTTCTCTGATGCTTTATTTAATCTGGTTTTTTTGTTTTAGGTGAAGCATCTCCTGGAGGCATTCCACAATATAAAGAAAGGATGTCTTCTGTCACTCACAGTCCTGAAATAATGGATACATCAGAACTACGGCCATTTTCCAAACCAGAAATAGCACTGACAGAAGCCCTTAGGCTTTTAGCTGACAAGGATTGGTAAGTTCATCAACCTTAACTTAAAACTAAGCTGAGTTCCAGAAGTTTTCTGAATATTTTTTATTAAAAACTTTGAAACATTCTCTATTAAAATAGTCATAGAAATGATTATTATAGTTCTTAGTCTGAGTTTTTTTTCAACTTATTAATGTAACTGAACTCTGGTCCTAATAGCACTGTATTACAACCAGTTATAATTTATATACCATAATGACAGAGTTTAGCTTTATTAGGGGTTACATAAACCTTTTGGTACTAGAATACAAATCTCACCATTCCTCCAAGTGTTTCTCTGTGAAATACATCCTATAACAATCCTGGAAATACTTATCTGTTACTAGCAGAGCTCAACAGCCTCCCAGCCCTGCCCTCCTGGAGCATATACTGTCCCATTACCTGCCTTGCTCCTCAGTATCTCTCTCCATCCCCATCCTCCATATCCTCAGTTTTACTTCTTTTACACCATATTCATCAACATTAAAATGTGCTATAATATCCCCTATTTTTAAAAAAAACCTCCCTAAACTGCACATCTTCACATTTCTTTTATTCCCCTTTTTTAGCCAAGTCCTCACAAAGGCTGACTCATTGTCTATTTTTTCACCTCATATTCTCTTCTCAACCTTTAATTGGCTCTCAGCACTCCCCACCATGACAACCACATCACTGAAACTATGAAAGTGATCATCTTGCTATATCTGCATTGGTTATTTATTAGTGGTCATCTTAGCCTTTTAGCAGTATTTGACACAGTCGACACTCCCTTCTAGTTTCTTGGTTCTTTTCTTGTTTTAGTATGTTCTTATTCCTTTTCTTTATTTGGCTTCAAAATTGAGGCATGCTCCAGAATACAATCCACTGGCATTCTCTATCTACATTTATTCCATAGATCCAGGCTGGCGATCGTTTTCTGTAAAGAGCCAGATACTAAATATTTTAGGCTTTGCAGGCCAGATGTCTTTATCATAACTCCTCTACTTTGCTGTTGTAGTGTGAAAGCAGCTTTAGGGGGCGCCTGGGTGGCTCAGTCATTAAGCGTCTGCCTTCAGCTCGGGTCATGATCCCAGGTCCTGGGATTGAGCCCCGCATTGGGCTTCCTGCTCCCTGGGAAACCTGTTCTCCCTCTCCCACTCCCTCTGCTTGTGTTTCCTCTCTCGCTGTGTCTCTCTCTGTCAAAAAATAAATAAAATCTTTAAAAAATAAATAAAATAAAAGGCTTAGATAGTAAGAAAAGAAATAGGTATAGCTATGTTCCAATAAACTTTACTTATAAAAATTTCTGATGGGGTCAGATTTGGTCTGTGAGTCGTAGTTTGCCAACCCCTTTCCTAAAAGATTATATTCAACTGAATATATGTCTCGATTCTAGGTATCTTCTTGAGCTCTAAACTTATAATCCATCTGCCTGCTTGACATTTTCACTTTGATGCTTATAGACATTTTAAATTTAACATATCCAAAATAGAACTCTTGATTTCCCACTTCCTGCCAAGGTGGGTTAACAGGCATAAGATTTGCCTACACATCTGAAAGAACTAAAGAAACCATACAAAATATATGAAACAGTGGTTTTCAAAATATTCCTCAGTAGGCAATGAAAATTAGTGATCCTTGAGAGACAGGAAACAAACAAGGTGAACTCTATAATTGCCCTCGCTTAACCTTCTGCAGAGTTTCCAGGTTACAGCTCAAAGAAGGGAAAACTATGTAAATACCAGCAGAGATGGAAATGGAGCTGGGAGTTTGGGGATGCCAAGGTAACTAGAGTTTGCAAGGCAGAATGCCAGAGAGGATGGAGCTTCACAAAGAACTCTGGAGACCTTCAGAGGATTCTTCTCAAATATTTAGCTGAATACTAGTCAGGGCATAAATATAAATAAATTACCTGAAGCCAGAGCTAGAATGAAGTTACAGGGAACAGTCCCTGAATACTTCTTATTCCCATCAGCACAGTGGAAAACCTCATAATTCACAGGGCGTCAAGTAGAAAACTCAAAAGAGTTTTGCTTCTTAGTGTGGAAAAATAAACCTTAGGCTAAAGACTGGTTTGGCCCTGCCCAACAAAATATAAAGCAAGGCCTAAGAGGATCAAACTTATCAAATAACCTAACTCCATCCCAGAGCAAAGGTCAAAAATAATTTAGGAATACAGAAATATCTCAGGTAAAATGCATAATGACTGACATCCAATAAAAAATTACCAGGCATGCAAAGCAGCAGGGAAATACAACCCATAATGAGAAGGAAAAAAAGACAACTATTGAAACCAATCCAAAAATGATACACATGATAGAATTAGTAGACAAGGACATTATAGCTATAGTTATAATTCTATTCCATGTGTTGAAGAAACTAGAGGAAAGACATAAACAGAGAATCAGTGAGCTGTAGGACAACTTGCAAAATCCCTTTTGCCATATAATGTAACATGATTGAGGGAAATAATATCCCCTTATAGTCATACTCAAGGGGAGGGTATTATGAGGTGGTATATACCAGGGAGCAGGAATCATGGGTGCCATCTTAGAATTCTGTATTTCACATTAGGAGTAAAAAGGGTCATTTTATAATGATAATGATAAAAAGGTCAATTCATCAAGTGATCCTGATTTTATTTATCATATACAGAGCTTCAGAATACATTAAGCAGAAACTGGTAGAACTGCAAGAAGAAATAAATAAATCCACAATTACAGTTGGAACTTCAACAACCATCTCTCATTAATTGATAGAACTAGAAGAAAGAAAATCATTGAGGATATAGAAGACTTGAATGACATGATTGACCAACTTGACCTAATTGGCATTTATAGAATACTCCACCTAAAATAGCAGAATTTACATTCTTTTTGAGTCCGTAAGGAACATTTACCAAGAAAAATATTTTGGAACATAAAATAAGTAATTTAAAAGGATTCAGATTATACAAATTTTGTTCTCTGACTATGGTGGAATTAAATTAGAAGTTAGGAACAGATACCTGGAAAATCTCCAAATGTCTTGAAACTAGCACAATTAGAAGCAACTCATGGATCTAAGAAAGTAATCAAAAGGGAAATTAGAAAGTATTTTTTAACCTTTTTTTTTTTTTAAAGTAGGTTCCATGCCCAGCGTGGAGCCCTATGTGGGGCTTGAACTCATGACCCTGAGATCAAGACCTGAGCCAAGATCATGTGTCTGAGCCACCCAGGCACCCCCAAAGTATTTTGAATTTAATGAAATTAAGAATGGAACATGAAAATTATGAGATGCAGCTAAATTAGAGGGAAATTTATAGCACCATAACACCTATATTACAGAAGAAGAAACATTTTATATCAGTGACCTCAGCTTTCACCTTAAACTACAAACAGAAGAGCAAATGAAGCCCAAAATATTTAAAGAAAAGAAATAATAAAGATTGCGCTAAAAATCAAGAAAATAGAAAACAAACAGTACAGAAAAGCAGGTTCTTAGAGAAGATCAATTGATAAACCTGTGATCAGACTGATCAAGCAAAATCAGAGAAAAAAACAATTACCATATCAGGAATGAGGGAATAAACATCATTACTAATCATATAGCTCTTAAACAAACAATAAAGGGATATGATAAACAGCTTTATGCCCACTAATTTAACAACTTAGTGAAATGGATAAATTCTCTGAAAGACACAAACTACCAAAACTCACTAAAAACAAAACAAAAAATTAGCTAACCTCTATAATCCAATACGTATTAAGGATATTGACATTGTATTTAAAACTTCCACAAAGAAAACTCCAGGCTCAGATGGTTTTGCTAGTAAATTATACCAAACATTTAAGGAAGAAATCAATTCTACACAAACTTAGAACACTGAAGAGGCTGGAGTACTTCCATCTTATTCTTTGAGGCCAGTATCACCCTGATACCAAAACCATACAAAGAACTACAGACTGAGATAAAAAATATCTCATGAACATAGATGTAAAAATCTTTAAAACAAGTTTTTATTTCCCCCCCTCCTAATCCCAAATCTGCTTCTACCTCGGTGTTCATCATCTTAGTTAATAACTCTGCCATGGATATTTAGTTGTTCATACCAAGTCAGTGTTGACTTTTTATCATTTCTTTATATCCCATCAGTTCCTTTATTTTCAGAATTTATCTCGGCTGCTGATCCTGTCGTCCAAGCCACACCTGGCTGTAGTAGTGTCATCACTGGTTTGCAGGCTTCCATGATTGCTCACCTCATACAACAGCCAGAGTGATACTGTTAAATCTCAAATCAGAACGTGGGATTCCTCCCCACAAAACCCTCCAGTGGCCCCCTAGAACACTAGAAAAAAATTGTTAAACTTTTTTATAGCTTACAAAGTCCTTCATTTTCTGTCCCTTGCCTCTTTTTGTAGCCTCATCCCCTACAGGGGGATGGGTGCTCTGCCTTACTTAGCCACTCTAGGCATTGGGCTATTTCCTGAACACCCCAAGCTCATTTATGCCTCAAGATCTTTGTACTTAATTCTTCAAACATTCTTCCAGTGTCTTCTCTTTCTCTTCATGCAGGTATCTGTCAAATGTCACCTCCTCAGAGAAGCCTTCTCTCATGACTTTAACTAAAATAGTGTTCTTTTCCCCATCTTCTTATATTGCTTTATTTTTAATATTGCTACCTGACCTTATATTTTATTTTAATACCTCTCTTAGCAATTTGATTATGATGTTCCATGTTGTGCTTTTTTTTTTTTTTTTTATCTGTTTGGGGTTGTTCTTAGATCTGAGAGTTTATAGTTTGAATCAAATTTGGAAAAATTTTAGCCACTTTTTCTTAATTTCTTTTCCTGCCTCCCTCTCTCTTGACTGTACTGTTATTTGTGTGTATAGAATTGGGTTGTTTCTGCATTTAAATTAATTGTTTTTTATGCTTATCCAAAAAAATGAGGATTTTGAACCAGACAGCTATTTAAATAGGTTTACTCTTGCTACCTTGGATTCTTAGGTCTTTTCTTTTCTCTGAGTTTTCCATAATTCATTCAGGGAATGTAAATGTTTAAAAAAATGACTGCCATCTATATTACCTAAGGAAATATTACAATATTACTAAGGAAACTAATTTTGGCTCTCATTTTTCAAACCTGTAAGATGAAAATCATCACGTTGGAAATGTTATACCTAAATCCCACTTGAATCCCACTCTCTTGTTAGTATCCACCTACCCTTCTTTGGCTCATTAGGTCAGATAATGAAAGAAAAATACAAATTACAGAACCATCTGTTGGTGGTTTTCTGCTGTTGGATTATATATTTGCCAATAAGGTGGTTACTTTTCTCCTTCCATTTTTGTTGTATTGCTTCCCTCACCTTTTGTTTGCCATTCCTTTCCCTTCTGTTCTCTAGAAAGAATATGACATTCTTATTAATAGGGAGGAAATATTTCTTTTTATTTACGAAGCATGAACTTAGTGTGATGTCAATGGTGATTTTAGCTCTTAAAAGATCTTTTGAATCATGAAAGAGAACTATTGGAGCAAATAAAACTTTACATATTTTTTATTTGAAATTCCTAAATGATATGGAAAAATAAGCAACATCTCCTCAGTGGCAGTATTTCATACGACAAAAGTCGTATTCCAGTTGAGCCCCATTTAATAAGTGATTTTCCAGTTGAGATCCTGTTCCAGTTGAGCCCCATTTAATAAGTGATTTTGTCATTTGTTTCTTTTTCCCATAGGGAGAAGAAAATTGAAGGACTGAATTTTATTAGGTGCTTAGCTGCTTTTCATTCTGAAATATTGAACACAAAGTTGCATGAAACAAATTTTGCTGTAGTTCAAGAGGTAAACTTATTTTTCAGCTGAGTTAAGGATTGTTTGGATAAGAAAGAATAAATATGCCATGTTAATTTGACCTTTAAAAAATATCTCTGTACTAGGGGCGTCTGGGTGGCTCAGTCGGTTGAGTATCCAACTCCTGATTTTGGCTCAGGTCATGATCTCAGGGTTGTGAGATTGAGCCCCACATGGGGCTCCACACTGAGGGTTGAGTTTATTTAAGTTTCTCGTTCTCTCTTTCTTTCTGCCCCTACCCTCCTCTTGTGCTCTCTCTCTCAAAAAAAAAGAATACCTCTGTACTAAATGATATAAGTAGGCTTATATGTAGTTACAAGTAGTTCCTATATGGGGCTCCTGGCTGGCTCAGTCAGGAGAGCATGCAACTCTTGATCTTAGGGTCATAAGTTCGAACCCCACATCAAGGACAGATTTTATTTAAAAAAAAAAAAAAAGTAGCTCATACCTTACTTTGCAACTTTTAAAAATTTTTATTAAATGTTAATTTTTAGGACATAGATAATATGTATTAAAACATGTTACTTTAATAGTAAATTTGGTTTCAAAGTCATTATTACTGATTTTCTTTCAGAATATCAGCAAAATGTACATTTTGGAAATTTTTTTTAGGTGAAAAATTTACGCTCTGGAGTTTCTCGTGCTGCTGTGGTCTGTTTAAGTGATCTTTTCACTTACCTGAAAAAAAACATGGATCAAGAACTAGATACTACAGTAAAAGTTTTGTTGCACAAGGCTGGAGAATCAAATACATTTATAAGAGAAGATGTTGACAAAGCACTGAGAGCTATGGTCAGTAATGTAACTCCTGCACGTGCAATTGTTTCTCTTATCAATGGAGGACAAAGGTAATATTCGAAATAATCTTTTTTTTTTTTTTAAGATTTTTATTTATTTATTTGAGAGAGAGAGAATGAGAGACAGAGAGCATGAGAGGGAGGAGGGTCAGAGGGAGAAGCAGACTCCCTGCCGAGCAGGGAGCCCGATGCGGGACTCGATCCCGGGACTCCAGGATCATGGCCTGAGCCGAAGGCAGTCGCTTAACCAACTGAGCCACCGAGGCGCCCCTCGAAATAATCTTGATATGTCCTTAAACTAAAAATACAATTGTTTGCAGTCTGGGATGTAGGAGAAACACAAGCAAACTTCAGTATTATTTTAGTCAAAAAACAAATAATTCTTATGTGATAAACATCATATTAGGTACAGAGCATACAAGGAAAATAATACTGTTATTCTCATAATTTTACTTATATTCATAGATCTGGAACTAAATAAATGTCAGTGATTATGAGTTTTGTTTTGTTTTTAACTTCTTGGGGATGGGTAACTAATGTAATTTGTCATTTTAGCTTCCAAGGATGATTGTTGAGGGTTAGGAATAGTTTAATCATTTAACTTTAAAGGTATGTCTTTGGTAAATAGTTCATACATCAACTTTGTTTCAATTGATCATGTTTTCTTGTAGCCATTTACACATTGCAGTAAGAAGATGTACAGCCCAGCACTTATCAGATGTTGTGGGATTTATGGAACCAGAACGTATTTTATCTGGAACAAAGGATATGGCTGACCGGATATTACCAGCTGCTGCCAAGTTTGCTCAGGACAGTTCACAAGAAACCAGGTGAATAGCTGCCAATAATATTTGCCGAATCTGTTAGGATAAGGGTTAAAAGTAGGCAGCAAAGGTTAAAAAAGAGTAAACATTTTTTCTAAATGGACAAGTGGGGTCCCCAGGGATTGGTGCTGGGACAGATGGACTTATTTAACCAATTTGTAAATGATCTTGAGGGAGTGCACAGTGAATTCTCCAAATTTACAGATGACACTACATACTTCTGGGTAGTGAGATGCCATGTCACAGGGATGAACTGCATGAAAACGGCACAAGACTATATGAGTGGGCAGAAAAGTGGCAGAAGAACTTCATTGTGGGCAAATGTAAGGTAATGCACTTAGGGGAAATGATATATTTTCCAAGCAATCAGGTGAAATCAAGGAAATAGGTGCACATGAAAAATACAGGAAGCGAAATGGTTAACATATTGTCTCCTGAAACATTAGATAGCTGCACTTAGAAAATCCCATAAATTTCTGATTGCTGTACTTGAAGAACAATTCTATGAAGGTTAAGAGAAAAATGACAAAAGAATTAAGATGTGGATGGTACATTACTGTATTGGTAACTTTTTTTTTTTAAGTAAACTCTGTGCCCAACCCCAACATGGGGCTCGAACTCACAACCCCAAGAGTAAGAGTCACGTGCTCCATCAGCTGACCCAGCCAGCTGCCCCTTGATGTATTGGTCACAGAAATTTTGGATATAGTCAAGAGCCTAGGTTCAATTCCTAGCCCCAATCACTTTTTGCCCTTAAGCAAATTACCTAACGTCTGTTAGCCTAAGTTTTCTCGTATGTAAAATTAGGAAGGTGAGACTAGGTGATTGATAATGTCCCATATAAAACCTAAAAATTTATGGCAGTTACATATTAAGATAGATTAAAAGTGGGAGGGAGGGTCCTGAGTTCATAGAGACTAAAGTAAAGAAGGATATAAAATTGGGGCACCTGAGGGGCGCCTGGGTGGCTCAGTCGTTAAGCGTCTGCCTTCGGCTCAGGTCATGATCCCAGGATCCTGGGATCGAGCCCCAGGATCGAGCCCCACATTGGGCTCCCTGCTCCACGGGAAGCCTGCTTCTCCCTCTCCCAGTCCCCCTGCTTGTGTTCCCTCTCTCGCTGTGTCTCTCTCTGTCAAATAAATAAATAAAATTAAAAAAAAAAAATTTAGGGCACCTGGGTGGCTCAGTCGTTAAGCACCTGCCTTCGGCTCAGGTCATGATACCAGGGTCCTGGGATCGAGCCCCGCATCAGGCTCCCTGCTTGGCGGGAAGCCTGCTTCTCCCTCTCCCACTCCCTCTGCTTGTGTTCCCTCTCCCACTCCCTCTGCTTGTGTTCCCTCTCTCACTGTGTCTCTCTCTGTCAAATAAATAAATAAAATCTTTAAAAAAAAAAAAGAAGGCTATAAAATTAACATTTTAAGACAAATGTATCCATGACTTTAGGTAACTAGAGTTAATCTTATGGAAATCATTATACCAGAAGCTAATATAGAAAGTCAATGTATTCATTTTCTATTGCTGTGTAACAAATTACCACAAACATAATGGTTTAAGACAACACAGACTTTTTTAGCTTACTGTTCTTTAGGTTAGAAGTCTTGCATGGCTCAATTGCTTTCTCTGCTTGGGGTCTTCCAGGATTATAATCAAGGTAATGATAATGCTGAGCTCTTATCTAGATGTTCTATAGAAGAAGTTGCTTCCAAGCTCATTTTGGTTGTTGGCCAAATTCAGTTGCTTGTAGTTATAGGACTTAGGTCTCTATTTCTTTGCTGGTTTTCAACTAGGGTCCTCTCTCAGCTCCTTAAGGTCACCCGAATTCCTTCTTGTGCAGCCCCCTCCATCTTCAACCCAGCAAAAGTATGGTGAATCCCCCTTGTGCTTAGAAGCTCTCTGATTTCCTCTTCTGCTACCAGCTATAGAAAGCTCTCTGCTTTTAAGGACCTGTATGATTAGATTAGGTCCACCCAGAAAATCTCTGTATCTTAGAGTCAACTCTACCATATAACATAACATAACATAATCCTGGAAGTTGTATCACATATTTACAAATTGTAGGTATTAGAGCAGTCCTGCTCTTTGGGGAGCCATTTTGGAAGTTATGTATACCACAGTAAAGTTCAAAACAATTTAGGCTTTGGATCATAATAAACTAGTTAGGGACAAAAAAAGATTCATAATCGTTGTTGTATATACATCTTAACCTTTCCTTAATGACATGGTAATTCTTCTAACCCATTTTGTCATTTCTTATTTGAAGTTTTAAAATTATAAAATGGTTACAACTTTATAGTTTTACTATTTCTCACATTTAGTGTCCCTATTGCTTGTTTACTTGTTTGTTTTAGCCATTCTCATATCATTAGGGCCTGTGATAGACCTACAGTCCTTAATGTTCTGGGCTAAAAGTTATAATCATCTTTGAAACTATAACTGATTATGAACTACTTATCAAGGGGTAACCTTATTCTGATTCTGAGGAGAGAACAGTAATTTTTATTTTCTGATACTACCTACCTCCCTTTCTATAATTCCATTACAGTTGAAGGAGCCTAATTGATACACATATTCCTGAGATCATTCTGTACCTTCTCCCTACCTTGCAAGACTTGCCTTTCCTGGTTCATCCTAGTCCCATATATTCCAAGTTGTAAGAAAAAGCATAACTAATTAATTTTAGGGCCAAGCCTCTTTGAAGAATAGTAATATGGTATAAGGTACTATAAGATCCCTCTATCCAAAAATATCTCCAATACCCATGATATCTGTGGTTCTGTCACAATGATATCTTGGCTTAAGGTTTTATCCTAAAAAGAATTATTTTTTAAAAAAAGAATTATTTTTAAATTTATATACTACCATAAAAAAAAAAAAGTTCGGAGAGCATTACACATTCATTATATATCATCCATGATTTACCAACTAATTTTGGGTATGTTTTAGGTAGCAGAGAATAGGTTTTTGAAGAATTGGAACCCAGATAGGTTTTGGCAGGGGGGAAAAATAGTGAGGGTAAGAAATACAGGAAATACAGAACCTAGGGAAGGTTGACTTAGGTCAGAACACCTTTCACCAGCAACCTCTTGCCCAGTGAGCAAGGAGCCCCGGATAAAGACAGACTTCTTCTAACTCACAGTTCTGCCAAATACCAGCCTTGATATGGACCCAAGGGTGCCTGAAAAATAGAATTCAAACATTTGGCTCTCTAAGAAGAGATTTGAAGATCTGAAGCTATAGTGTTTTTTAAAGGTTAGGGACAACAATAGCCCAAGTGTGGTAAGAGCCGTGATGCCCTTCAAACAGACGAATAGATAAAGATGTGGTCCATATATACAATAGAATATTAATCAGCCATCGGAAAGGATAAATACCCAACTTTTGCATCAACATGGATGGGACTGGAGAAGATTATGCTAAGTGGAATAAGTCAAGTAGAGAAAGTCAATTATCATATGGTTTCACTTATTTGTGGAACATAAGGAATAGCATGGAGGACATTAGGAGAAGGAAGGGAAAAATGAAGCGGGGGACATCAGAGGGGGAGAAGAACCATGAGAGACTGTGGATCCTGAGAAACAAATGGAGGGTTTTAGAGGGGAGGGGGGTGGGGGGATGGGTTAGCCCGGTGATGGGTATTAAGGAGGGAACGTATTGATGGAGCACTGGGTGTTCTACACAAGCAATGAATCATGGATCACTACATCAAAAACTAATGAGGTACTGTATGGTGACTAACATAACATAATAAAAAACAAAAAACAAGAAAGAACAGGTGAATAATCCGGAAAAAAAAAATAAAGTGGGTTTTTTATAAACCAAAAAAAAATAAATAAATAAAGGTGAGGGACAGGAGAATGTTATACTCCAGTTCAGTTAGTATAACTACGTTGCAGTGGCTTGTTTAAAATAGGGATGACAGGGGCGCCTGGGTGGCTCAGTCGTTAAGCATCTGCCTTCGGCTCAGGTCATGATACCAGGGTCCTGGGATCGAGCCCCGCATCGGGCTCCCTGCTCGGTGGGAAGCCTGCTTCTCCCTCTCCCACAACCCCGCTTGTGTTCCTGCTCTCACTAACTCTCTCTCTTTGTCAAATAAATAAATAAAATCTTTAAATAAAATAAAATAGGGATGACAATCTTGATATTGACAGGTTTTTTCTATTAAAAAAATTGCATCTAAGGATAGAAACTGAGTTTGTTAAGGTATATAAAATTATTTGCGTATTTCTCAAATGTCCGTAGGTACTATGGTCGAAAAATGCTTTTCCTTATGATGTGTCATCCAAACTTTGATAAAATGCTTGAAAAATATGTCCCATCCAAAGATTTGCCATATATTAAGGAATCTGTTAAAAGCTTACGGCAAAAGGTATGTGGAAAAAGTTTAATTTGTAAACATCTTTAAAAGCAAAGTACAAGGAAGGTAAAGGTGGAAGTAATTGCTTCTGTGATTATTTCTCTGTTAATCATTCCGAATATAGCTACAGTAGCATTTCAACAACAGCAGTTGAAAAACTTGCAGTAGACATTGGTAGTGTCAATAAGTGCTTATTGAACAGAAGCTTGATATTTGGTAGAATATAGTGTGGTTTATTGGAGTTATAAGACTTGGATTTGATTCAAGACTTGGGTTTGAGAATTAAACAACTATATAATATTAGGTACATCACTTCATTTCTTTAACCTGAATTTTTTATTTTTACAGGATAAGGATAGTGATGTTCATCATGCTTGGTTCCTGCTTTATTTACCTTGCATATTCCACTATTAGAGTTCCTATCACACTGCAGAACATTGATTAGGAGCTCCTTGAGGGGAAGCCCCATTTATTTAATCCTGGTAGATAATGGGAGATTCAGACATGTCTGTAATGAGTAACTGAGGGAATATCAAGTAAAATAAAATGTGAAAAGTAACTTATAAAAAGTAATCCATTTTTTTTTGCAAAATATGTTTAATAATGTAGAATTTTTTTATGGTAATTTATGTTACTCCTCATTGATAATCTTGGATAAAGGATTCATTTATGAAAGGATAGTATTTCAAAGATGTATGGCAATATACATTTTAGAGCATTTTCTTCTGCTTATTGATCTTAAAGACTTTAGCTTAATTCGTATAGAAATAATTAAAATAACCATGTAAATAATTATCTTACTGAACTGAGGTGGTTTGTATTTGTCAGTTCAAGTACAAGTATTTTTAAATAGTTCTTATTGACGTGTTTATTCTCATCCTAGTGTTGCATAGGAATTCATTATTTATGTAATGTGTTCATATTTTCTCTGTAGATTTTAAGGTTTAAGAGTAGTTATAAAATATAGTATATTAATTTTTAAAATTTTATTGAACAGTTTTACTCAGCCAATATCATTTCCTATTAGTTGATCACATATTTGGTTAATTTATTACTAATTAGAAGGTATTTTATGTATTGATACCCTTTAAAGCATAAGCATAGCTGATTATTAAGATGTGTTCATTTATAAAAAGATCAATAATGACTTCTATGAAAATTACATTGTATAAATTATTTCACTTAACTGGTTTTAAGACTTTTATTACCCTGCCTTTCTTTATATTACTTAAAGGGCTTAGGAGAGATACCACTAGATACTCCTTCAGCAAAAGGAAGACGATCTCATACTGGCACTGTTGGAAATACAAGGTCATCATCTGTTTCTAGAGATGCTTTCAATTCAGCTGAAAGGTAGGATCATTTGATAGTCCACATCATTAGAGAAATTACTCCCTAGTGATAGTAGTCTCTTTTGGATGTTTTTATGAACTATCCCAGGGGTATTTGTCAAAACTTAATGGAGTTTTAAAAGTTGGTAAGAACTTAGAAAGTGTGAGGTAATTATACTTAATAAGACAGTTATATATTCACAGCAACTGGCTTTTACATGCACTAAACATTATTAAAGCTTTAGTGCTATTGCACTTGTCAATATTAGGTCTGTGTTGGACAACTCTGATTAATTTTGTTTTAATTTTTAGCCTTTACTTGTCCCCCTTGATTATAAAAGTAATATATAATTATGGTTAGGGGAAAAAAAAACAACTTTAGAAAATCCAAACATTAAAAGAAGAATTAACCAATCACCCATAGTACCACCAACCACAAAAAGACTACTCTTAAAATTTTTATAAATATAATTATGTATATAATTTTGTAACTTGTTTATACTGTTTAACATGTAATAGATTGATTATATAATTTTTTTTAAATATATTTTTTTAGGGGTGCCTGGGTAGCTCACTTGGTTAAGCATCTACCTTCTGCTCAGGTCATGATCCCAGGGTCCTGAGATCAAACCCCATGTTGGGTTCTCTGCCCAGCAGGGAGCCTGCTTTTCCCTTTCTCTCTGCCTGCTGCACCCCCTGCTTGTACGCTCTCTCTCTTTCTCCAAATAAATAAATAAAAATCTTAAAAAAAGAAGAAAAAAAAAAGTTGTCCAATTTCATTCTTTTGCATGTTGCTGCCCCGTTTTTCCAACACCAATTATTGAAGATACCATCTTTTTCCCATGGAATATTCTTTCCTGCTTTGTCGAAGATTAGTTGACCATATAGTTGTGGGTTCATTTCTGGGTTTTCTATTCTGTTCCATTGATCTATGTGTCAGTTTTTGTGCCCGTACCATACTGTTTTGATCACTACAGCTTTGTAGTATAACTTGAAGTCCAGAGTCATGATGCCTCCAGCTTTGCTTTTCTTTTTCAAGGTTGCTTTGGCTATTCAGGGTCTTCTGTGGTTCCATACAAATTGTAGGGTTGTTTGTTCTAGCTCTGTGAAAAATGCTGTTGGTATTTTCATAGGATTTGCATTAAATGTGTAAATTGCTTTGGGTAGTATAGACATTTTAACAGTCTTAGTTCTTCTAACCCATGAAAATGGAATGTTTTTCCATTTCTTTCTTTCTTTTTTTCTTTTTTTCCATTTCTTTGTGTCATCTTTAATTTCTTTCTTGGGTGTTTTATAGATTTTAGAGTATAGATCTTTTACCTCTTTGGTTAGGTTTATTCCTAGGTATCTTATGGTTTTTGGTACTATTGTAAATGGGATTGTTTTCTTAATTTCTTTTTCTGCTGTTCATTATTGGTGTATAGAAATGCAACAGATTTCTGTACATTGATTTTGTATCCTGCAGCTTTACTGAATTCATCTATCAATTGGCAACTTCTTGTGGATTTTTTTGGGTTTTCTATATAAAGTATCATGTCATCTGCAACTAGTGAAAGTTTGACTTCTTCCTTGCTAATTTGGATGCCTTTTATTTCTTTTTGTTGTCTGTTTGCTGAGGCTAAGACATCCAGTTCTAATCTAAATAACAGTGGTAAGAGTGGACATCCCTGTCTTGTTCCTGATTATAGAGGAAAAGCTCTCAGTTTTTTCCCATTGAGGATGATTTTAGCTGTGGGTTTTTCATATATGGCCTTTATTATGTTGAGGTATGTTCCCTCTAAACCTACTTTCTTGAGGGTTTTTATCATGAATGGATGCTGTACTTTGTCAAATGCCTTTTCTGCATCTATTGAAAGGATCATATGGTTTTTATCCTTTCTTTTATTAATGTGGTGTATCACATTGATTGATTTGTGAATACTGAACCATCCTTGCAGCCCAGGAATAAATCCCACTTGATCATGGTGAATGATTCTTTTAATGTAGTCTTGGTTTCAATTTGCTAGTATTTTGTTGAGAATTTTTACATCCATTTCATGAGAAATATTGACCTATTGTTCTCTTTTTTAGTGGAGACTTTGTCTGGTTTTGGAATCAGGATAATGCTGGTCTCATAGAATAAATTTGGAAGTTTTCCTTTCTTTTCTATTTTTTGGAATGGTTTGAGAATAGGTATTCACTCTTCTTTAAATGTTTGGTAGAATTCCCTTGTGAAGCCACCTGGCCCTGATCTTTTATATCTTGGGAGATTTTTGATTACTGATTCAATTTCCTTGCTGGTTATGGGTCTGTTCAAATTTTCCATTTCTTCCTGTTTCAGTTTTGGTAGTTTAAATGTTTCTAGGAATGCATCCATTTCTTCCAGATTGCCTGACTTGTTGGCATATAATATTCTCTTATTATTGTTTGTATTTCTGGGGTGTCTGGGTGGCCGGGGCTCTGCTCAGCGGGGAGTCTGCTTCTCCCTCTCCCTCTGCCCTTCCCCCCTGCTCATGCTCACTCTTTTTTTCTCTCTCTCTCTCAAATAAATAAAATATTAAAAAAAAAATAACAGTTTGTATTTTTTTGGTGTTGGTTGTGATCTCTCCTCTTTCATTCATGATTTTATTTATTTGGGTCCTTTTTTTTTTTTTTTGATAAGTCTGGATTGGGATTTATCAATTTTATTAATTTTTTCTGAAAACCACTGCTGCTTTCATTGATGTGTTCTATTGGTTTTTTAGTTTCTATATCATTTATCTCTGCTCTAATCTTTATTATTTGCCTTCTGCTAACTTTAGGCTTTGTTCTTTTTGTAGCTCCTTTAGGTGTAACATTAGGTTGTTTATTTGAGATTTTTCTTGCTTCTTGAGGT